ATAAAATGTACAAGTTAGCAAAAAACTTTAAATTTTCATTGAGCACTGAATTCACCTTAACTAAAAACAAAACTTTGTTAAATATCTGTGTGTCCTACGTACAATGTATTTTTTCTAAATGTAATTATCCTTTGCATGGTCAAAGCACTAAATCCACATATCATGAAGCCATTTCAATTTTGTGTTGAGGCAATGTTTTCAGTGTTTATAATTAAGGCTAATAGGCATTTTTCCATGTGTATGTCTCTTTAAATATGCAAATACTGGATTTGTGTTTAATGCCGAACTCTTACCAGGTCACAATTTGTTACCCAACGACTGTTCCGTGTTTTTTTTTCTTTTGTACTTCATCATTTGTCTTTGGTTAATGGATATGTGTTTTATCGTGTCATGAATTCGTTGGCCTATATTTTCTAATAAAATAAAATCAGGGGCTTTAAAAAGTATCTGCCATATGTTTTTTTAAATCACTATGTCTACTATCTATTAATGTGTATTCTTTGTACATAAATATTGCATGTGTTAATTAAAAAATGTAAATAAATAAGAATAATAAGGCTCTTGGAAAAGGTTAAATGCATGTGTTTGGCATATACTGTTGGCACCCAAGTAAGTTAAAACAGTTTGTCTTCTTACTGTTGAATATAACCAGGATACTGTAGTGGTTATGGTGATTGGAGTGTTCATTTAAATAATGTCCTATATATTTTGTTTGCTTCCTTCTATTGGATAAGAAACAAATATATATTCAGAGTGTTAAATAAGATGTAGTAAATGAACTTTGTCAAACCTGATTCACTATTTAGTTCAGAGAATTTCCAATTAAGAGCCAACTGTTTTAATTCCTTCTTGATAATTGGAGTGCAAGGTGCAGTCAAGTGCCTCTCATAGAGAAGCATTTGATTGGACCATTGAATAGGCTCAGAGCATAAATACCAGAGCGTATAAAAAGGCTGTGATGGTATGTCTGCCACCAGCAGACTGTGCACACTGACGACAGAAGTATATTTTACACAGAATTTACACTGGACAGCCTGGAACAGAGTTCTGGACTGCCTAAGTCATGTGTGCTTTAGGGGGTGCAAACAGCACCCAGCATACAAGTGCAAATATCTCGGTATGTGGAGCATTTTAAACAGAAACCTTTACACATACTGGCTCCTACCACCATGACCACTTCTAAAAACATAAGTAGTCATGGTGGTTGGAGTAACCATTTAATCTATTTTCAGTTTATTAGCGTATGCCTCCCAGCAGAATTTCCATGATTAAGTGCTGGCATATGCAATATGTTCTTTTTTCATTCAATTAGTATAGTTAGTTTGGCTATAATAAGAGACGTGTCATCACTCTACCCCGCAGGCTGAACAAAGCATGCATTCCTTTATAAATATGTCAAGAAAAAGCCTCTACATCAAAAAATATTGTGGATGCGCAACATTCCTCTACTGATCAACTTTAATTGGAGTTAGTGAGCGAACAAAACCCGTGACGAAGGAAATTTTATTTGTGAAAGCACACACCCTAAAAAATATTTAGAAGAGAGATTACGTAGGTTATAGATACCTTTGTTCTAACAACCTCATTTAAATTTTCTAGGTCAAATATCAAAGCAATAGTAACACCAGGATTCAAACGCATATGCTAAATTAACGAGTTCAATATGTCAAAACCAAAATAAACAGCTTAATATATGCAGATACTGCCCAAATGTTTTCAAAACAGGTCAACAGCATTTATTCTCCAGAGATACTGTAGCAGTGTGATTTGTAGCTTTGTAAGTTATGGTCATGGAAAGGCTAGCAAGGCGGTCAGAAGGCAATTACTCTCCAGGCCACTAGCATACATGGTTTGACAAACTGATTGCTCTCCAGACCTGGACTGGTCCACCAAGATTATTCCCAAAGGACTGCTTGGGACACACAGGTTGCCAGACTATAATGAGTATGTATGATGCGGTGGAGCTTGAGACTTACTGCAGGGCAAGATGAGTCAGTGCTCAAAATATTAATTACCCATATAGGTCATCACTGCAGCAATAGGGTTGCCAGAAACTGAGTGAATACTCCCTCATGCTAAGCAGCTCATACTGATGGAGGATGCCAAGATAGTGGGGAGTCAAAAAAATGCTTCCCCCAAATTCCCACTCAGTGAATGTGTGTCTGTCAGTGAATGTGTGTGTGTGTGTGTGTGTCTGTAAGTATTTATCAAATCAGTAAGAGTCTTTGTCTGTCAGCAACATGTGTGTGACTGTCAGTGTGTGTCTGTCAGTGAGTGTGTGTATGTCAACGTGCCTGTCAGTGAGTGCATTTGTTTATCAGTGTGTGTGTTTTTTTGGGGGGGGGAGGTGGGGTTATTTGACTAGGAAGGTGCCCAACTGTAATTATTCCTAGGGCAGCACAAAACCAGAAGACACCATGTGATGTCACAACCTAGAAACTCCAACAGTCTTATATTGCATTAGAGAACAGTATATTCCTTTCAAGTTGTTTTATTTCAAACTCCATAATAAGGTAAAATGTGGTCATTTATGCTGAATTATTCTTGTATTCTGTTTTTATTGTCAGAAATTCAAACATTAGTATAAAGTAAATGAATTTGAAGTAAATTATACTAGTGTCTATGTAGATGCTAGTTGGCCATTTGCATGTGAATTTGGGTGAATATTTGATTGCAGTGTCTGTGTATTTCAAATGCTTTTCATATGGAGTGTGTGCTTGAATTCAGGTGTGTGTGCTCGAAGAGTGTGCATGTGAACACAGAGGTATATTTTTGTGCAGTCTCAATGTATTTGTAAATACAGCAATATATGATACAAGCTTATATCAGTGTGGGGGTGTGAACACATCGTTGTAGTAGTGTAAAGTGCATGTGAATGCCGGGGTATATTTGTCAGGCACGTGACTGTGTCGGTGAATGTAGGAGTAAGTGTGTGTGAATGCAGGGTTGCATTTGTAAGGCATGTAAACGAGTGTATGTGTGAATGTCTGGGAGTACTTTTAAGGATGTCACTGTGTGTGAGTGCATTAGTGTATTTGAGCAAGTGGCATGAGGAGTGTCTGAATGCTGAGGTGGGTTTATAATACTTGTCAATGTATGTGATATATTTTAACCCCTTAAGGACACAACTTCAGAAATAAAAGGGAATCACAACTGAATATTTCCATCATGTGTAGTTAAGGGGTTAATGTACTTTACTTTGTCACTTTTCTTTCATTTCTTTGTGCTCTCCATCTCAATACTTTTCTTCCACCTGTCTCTCCATCCTACCTCCCTACTTGTGTGTATCTCTATTTGTCCTATTCCCCACTTTTATTTCTCTATCATGGCCTCCATGTCGCTCTTTCTGCTCCCAGTGTTCTCTCTTTCTGTCCCATTTCCCCCTCTCTCTTTCTTTTTCCATTTCTTATAAACTAACTGGTCATGGTCAGCTGGGAGGCTGCTGTCTCTCCTATTCACAACAGACTGTTCTCTAATTCCTGTGTAGCTATGTCTCATTGACTGGAGGGGACAGAGATATGATGTAAGATTCTATCTACGTCTCTGTCCAAACAGACATTATCACACAACATCCTGCATTATTTCTGGTGCTGAGCAATAGATCGCATCTCTCTACATGAAAATCTATTGTGGACTAGTCAGAGAGATCTGTCCATCTCGTTAACCACGTCATGAAAGCTGCACACCTACAGTCATGTCCCTGCCCTCAGCAATGTCATTCATTAGAACATGAAATATTCTAGAAATGTCACCTAAAAAAGGTCACGGATTCATTCTGCCAGCTATTAAATATATTTACCCATGTAATATATCAATCAGCCAGTTTCTGCATCCTTATTTGTCATTTGATGATAGTTAGCAAGCAATACAATATTGCCACCTAGCTGTCACTATTATGTAGTGGACATAAATTATGCATTCACACATATGCGTATTATGTAAATAACCTCTTCAATGCAGAACTCGTGTGTAATTGATTACCAGGGACTGCACCCATACCCCGCACACACAAAACTGAGTGCATATTGGACAGTGTGTAGTTGAGAGGATTATAGACTGTGTTATAAAATACTAAGAAATGTTAATTATTAACAACTCTCTTTTCCTGTCTGTAACATCATTAATTGATAATTTTTCAGTTCAGACAATATTTTTCATTTATGTTTCCATTAAATAATGAGCTGTCTAGGAATACCAAAAAGAAAAATACGTGTAAACATTTATTTCCATCACGCCCAAAATACTCAGAATCTGGGGGTGTTTTTTCTTCAAACTTCTTGGCAGTGAAGGGGTTAAATCATGTAGAGGCTAGTAAAGTTTTAAGATGGTGGGTCAAGTAGAATTAAAGAGTCTTGTTGCAAAGATGGTATGGGAATTTGGCCTAATGTGGTATACAATTTAGAATTTTGCCAATCAAATACTAAAAGCCACATTATTAAATGATACATGTAACTGCAAGTACAGAATACTACATTATTGTACCCTATTGTATCAATGTAATGTTTTGTGGACCCAGGACATGCTTGAAAATGAGAGAAATCTCAATGTATCTTTCCTGGTAAAATATTTTATAATAATAATAATAATAATATGAAACTGATAACAATTAGTTATTTTTAGTATTTATGAAAGTGATTGAAAGTGACTGAATTTGCTATAACACATTTGGCAATCATTGAATAGACTCAGTATGATTGATATAAACCAATACGGTCAGTATTTGCCTAGTGATTGCACATCACCAAATGTATTGGTTGACTTTTGGTCTTGCCCTAAATACTTGCAGGTGGGTATAAAGACAATCTGGAAGTTGTTGGTTATTGTGAATTTTCAATATTTTCTTTTTTAATTCAGAGGGTTTGTATTTTTTACATCATATCACATATAAGATGAAAGGAAGAGAACCAGAACTGATACATGCTATACAGCTCATATGGATATAGAATAGCTATATATGAATCCATACACCAGATTGTTAAGATATAACTAGTATTCAGTAGCTACATGCGTGATACTTGATGTGTTTCTAGGTTTGTGTAAGATCTTTCGTCAGGATTAAAACCTTGTGGAGGAATTTTGATTGAGTCATTATCAAATCCATTTTGAATTGTTTCTTCTGTTACAGCTTCCACCTTTGGATCATTTTGGAGACTATTTTTGTGATCCTTTAAATGCAAGATATGAAGAAAAATTATTAGAAATGAGGGATTTGACTAATGGTGCATTCCAAAAATGTGTGCATACAAGACTGGAGACTGCAATTAATCTAGTCTTTTCTGTATATTTTTCTTTTCTGCCAATAAATCACAGGGCTCTGACGGGCAAGTCTTCCCTCCTGCGTGACCTGCTCAATGAATATAATATCTATTGACATATTAATACTATAAATGGGACACTTGGTAGGCGTATGACCCTTAGGGCTATTATTACTTCCCTTCCACACACCTCGTTCCATCATTGTTAGAATTTCTGTTTTCTAGAAACTAATTTCTAGTTTCTAATTGCTGTTTCCTTATGATCATTACACAATCACTGAACTTTCATTATTTTCTATCTTACTCCCAGCATTCCTTGCTCTCTACTGTTTTCTACCTCCTCCTCTATTTTCTCCATTTGAGGTTCTTTTCGATTTTGCTGATCCCATTCGACTCGGAATGACATTTGGTACATTTGTGTTGTTTCTCTTACAGTTACTTGAACTACTTTGCACTGTGGCCACAAAATGACATTTGAGCCTCTCTGCCTATCTTGGGGACCCTAAAAAGTGTTCAGATTCACACCTCTTCCCCTTGAATCTTTTTATATTTATACTCCCTTTTCTATTCTTCCTTTTGTCTTTATCTTCCTTTCCCCTTCCATATATCGCACTCTTACCACTGCTCTTCTTTATGTCAAAACATCTACAAAATCCCACACCCTCACCAATATTGCTAAATGAATGAACATCCCAAATAATCAGGGATTGTTTTTTTAAGATCCAAAATGATCCTTTTTAAAGAAACCTATTTCCAAACTGACATATTTTGCTTACTGCCCGTAGATATACCATTGTGTTCTTTTACACAAATGCCACAATGAAACTTTTCACACGGTATGTCTTCATGCAGATTTCTGACGTCCGGATAGACCTGGAGAGTTATTACATCACTAAACGTTTCAATTAGTAATATAATGTACACACACTAAATAAATAAATACATAACATTAAAAATAATCTTCAGGGAAAGAAGTCCAATACATCTTGGAGTTTTAAACTATATGGGGGGATATCATATTCTAAAGGGGATAAAGGTCTTTTTTTAGAAAGCTAGAATTGGAAGACATCCACACAGAGTTTAAAAAGTTGCAAAGAGTATTTTTCTTCCCTCAAGATTTATTTCTGTAATAAAACAAAATGAGTTTAATCGGAATGTGCTCATCTTACATAATTTAATACTATGATACGTAAAGCAGAAAAAAAGATCTTCGCACACCTGGTCAAGCACATATGATGTTTTAAAAATCAAATATTTGTTTTGTTGAAAATTATCAGTGGGACTTAAATACACAATCAATATGTGGTTAATTATAAGACATACACTTACGAGATCACTATCATGATGAACTCCACACCAGCACATGGTTTTGTATTTGTCCGACCAACAGCAGAAGATGTCACAAATTGGTCTGATTATGGATGGCTTAATATTCTTTCCATGCTCACGTCCTAAATAAATGAAGTGGACTATTTTGAGTCATTTTATAAATTTGAGAAATATGTATGTACTAGTGAAACAACAACATCTAATTTTAATATTACAGATAGTGATGTCCCGAGCGGTTCGCCGAACGGTTCGCCACGGACGGCAAGCATATGACCCTGTACCTCACAGTCAGCAGACACATTCCAGCCAATCAGCAGCAGACGCTCCCTCCCAGACCCTCCCGCCTCCTGGACAGCATCCATTTTGAAGATGCATTCTTAGTGAGCTGTCCAGGAGGTGGGAGGGTCTGGGAGGGAGGGTCTGCTGCTGATTGGCTGGAATGTGTCTGCTGACTGTGAGGTACAGGGTCATATGTTCGCCGTCCGCGGCGAACCGTTCAGCAAACCATTCAGCAAACTGTTCGGCGAACCGTTCGGGACATCACTAATCACAGAGTTATAGGAAAACATTCATGATAGTAAAAACAATGAAGACTTATTGAATGCTACAAACGTGACCATTTACTTTCCTGTTACAAAGCTAATCAGGAGCCCACAAATAACACTTGCCAGGAAACCCACAGCACTGTAGTACAGGTATGACATGCTATAAAAGTTTTCTTCAAGAACAGATCTGTGAAGATAAAAGCAGAAAATATATGAATAAACTAACTGATAGGTTACTCGGTGTGGGGAGAGACTTTTAATATTTGTTTGTGCTAGTTTTAAAGTTTATATATATGAAAGTAAATTTTTGTTTGGAGCCCTAGTTTTGAATGTCATTCATTAATTTAATATTATGTAATATCATTTATTGTATAATTTACTGGTTTTTGCCTTTTGGGGCCTTTTACATGCTTTCATAAAATACTATTGTGTTCTTCGTTCTTATGGCACAGACGTGGTGTACTGTGTTATTTTGTGTGTGCTCCAAATGATTTCACAAGAATTACCCAACCAAAATTAAATTTTCAGGATATACATGAAAATGAGAGAAATCTATATGTTAAAGCACATTTAACGTGTATAAAACTATGCAGATAGTTGCCATTGCTCTATTTATTTCAATGGGAAAAAAATAAAAAAGGAACACAGAATAATTAGACGACACCATGGATCCAAAATAAATAAAATATTCTAATCACCATTAAGACCATGTCATGATTTAGAATATCAAAATGGAACCCAAAACTAAGGAACCATGGGATTAGCTTGGTCGTTGGTAAATACCTGTTTCACTTCCTGTGGAAAATCACTACGGAATTATGCCACCATCAATCACATCAATCCTAATTATTAATGCACGTTCAGTTCTAAACCAGGGACTGATGGGAAGTTATATAGTCTTTGAAACTGCCTGGAAATACCATTACAGAAGCCAATATGAAGAGTAAAAGACTCAAAATAATATAAAATCTTTCTGGTTAATTGGATTTTGTCCTGTGCCCAGCAGTGTGGCATGGTAATGTAATGTCTTGGATGACCACATATGTGTCTTTTCATGGAACTTTAAAATTCACTATAATTTTATTATAAAATTACTTCTAGAAGAGGGTATTGAAATATTGTGAATAAGAACTCATACAGGAAGATACATAATTACATCTTTACTTCGTTGAAGCTGTATTCGGAGTCAGAGTAACGGGACGAAAGGTTGATGCCATGTCCGTAGTGTTAGAAGATATGTTTGCTAATACACACTGAGCTGTGCTTAACATAAGGGGGTAAGTCTTGGTTGCAGGTGGGGGATATATGAATGCTCCAATTCCAACCCAGAAAGACATGATAAGTCCAATCAGGAGCCCTCCGAAAGCACCCTACAAAACATAGTGCTCAATGACGCTCAGAATTTGTGAAACAAACAGCAAATTACAATTTTTCCATTAACAGAACCATTGAACTTGTATTAGCCATTTTCATGTAATAAGCCATTTTCTTTTACGTTTATCTTAAATATTTAGCAAATAACATCACAATCCAGTTCTGTCCAGACACAGCCTAGGAACACATTGTAACTGAGAACGAGAAACGCAAACTTTGTTTCATTTCACGTCTTCTTTGCTGACAGCTAGATAAAAAGGTCAGAGCTTACAGTTATTAAGAGGGAGCTAAGATGGGGATGCGCAGTTTCTGGTTAAAAAAGATTGAAGATTTTTACAATTATTATTTTGTTTTTTTCTCAGAAATAAATATTTATTACATAAATATGGGAGATAAATAAATGTGATATTAAATATCCTGGGAAGTAACACTTTACCCTGAAAGTGGCACTCACATTTCCCAGCTCTCATAACAACTCATACCAATATGAAGGTTTGCAGGTGCTGCCCCCTAGAGTGAGTGCTTGGAAGTGCAACAGACACTTCCTGTTGTCAGTTAGTTAAAGGAAAGACTACATAGACAGTATCCTGGGACCATAGCCATTACAATAAGCTGAAGTGATGTGTTAAAATGTTACTTTAAGTATAACCTACCATGGAATGCAGCACTTTGCATAGAAATAGCATCCTTTATAGTTCTATTGGTAGGCAATATTTATCTGAAGCAAATATGTGTTTACCTTCCAGTTTGTACATGGGAATAAAATGCCCAAAGTAAATAATCCCAACATGGGACCTCCACACATCCCATGAATACTTGCAGCAGCCTGTGGAAAGAAATAATGTAAAACCGTAAAATTAAAAAGAAAATCTTCTCAATGATTACAATAGTTTTATTGAGATCATTTGATCAAATTAAACAATACGTAATATTCTTAGAAATATTATTAGGTAGAAACCTTGTTAAATTGACTTGTAATATGTTACTATAAATTCATGATAAAATTGAGAAAATATTGCCATCTGTGGACAGAAATGGGAATAGCAAAACATTCTTTGTAACACACATATTGTTATTATTAGTATCATTATTATTTCAACATATTTTGTATTGATGTTCAGTGACATTAAATAAGACATCGTCATTACTTAAAATAACTCCTCCCTTACCTGAATAATTCCTCCCATCTGTGATGAAACTACAGCCATCGCGGTGCACAAAACTCCATACAGTAAACCTAGATGACAGATCAAATATTTTACACATATAATTAAGATAAATTACATTTTAGCCTGTAGATGGCATTAGTTTGTACAAACAAGGATGGAGAGATTATCATGGAACTAAAACTATGGCAGAATTAGAATCTTCAATAGAAAAATGAAATGGGTGAGTGTTGGGACATCATGCTCCCTAACTACTATTCATATCTAAATGCCCAAGTACATGACACTCTAATTCGTTCTATTCAATTATCTCTTATGTCTATCAACACATCTATTTTGTTTGTGTACCTGTGTCTATCACTACTGTTAATTAGTGGGTTGCTAAAATTGCACTATAGACCACTAAATAGTTTTTGCCCCCTGGCACAAGTTGCCACCCCTCTCGTGAAAGTGAGCTATAGTGATTATGGTGAGAAGTGTAGCTTTAAGGGTGTTTACAAGTAGATTATTATATTTTCAAAATTTACTCCAACTTCCTTGTAGTTAAAGGATTTCAAAAACCTCAACGGTAATATATTAAAAATTAAAGCCAGCACTCACATAGCCCTTTGCTAATAAAGGTATTCCTTCTTTCACTGATATTTTTGAATATATTCTTCACAATGTCTTCTAATGTAACTGTAGCTAGAGCATTAATGCTGGCAGCGACTGTGCTGTAACAAACATAAAGATTAAATGTAATAAATTGTATGAAATTGAGAGGAGACATTTCTAATATATATTTAGAGGCAATTATAACCCGCACAATTTCACCAACCAGTTTGGAATCATTCAAAATTTGAAGTTTTTATGTTTACAAAGTCAATTCACTCCAATTGATATGTTCAATCTTTTATTTTTATTATTATTACTATTGATATTTATATAGTGCCAACTAATTCCACACAGTGCTTTACAATAATTTAAAGGAAACTGTCTTCTGATACGAAACAGTAACTTAATTCAAAACCATCGGACAATTATTGGTTCAAGTCAATACTTGTAGTTAAGTATGGAAGTTGTGGAATTGATTCAGCTCTGATAAGAAGATATGTGCCAGTTGGCTGTTCGGTAGTGCTCCTTAAAGGCACTCTATAGTCACCAGACGAACTACAGCATAATGTAGTTCCTCTGGTGTGTATAGCTTGTCCTGGCAGGCTTTTTACTGTCACTCGGATGGCCACTAGAGGTGCTTCCTGGGTCAGTACTGCACAATAAGCACTAACATTCAGATTATCCACACTCTGCATTGAGTTTTACACCAACATGTATTTTAAACACTATAGGGTTAGGAATACACCAAAAGAGGCCTTTTCAAACCTTTTAACTGTCCTTTGGCAAACAATTAAATCATTAAAAATAAAGGGAATGATTGTGGTACACAAGCAGTTTAAGAGATAGGGCTGGCGAAAAATGAAGAATGTTTTTTGGGGAACAAATTCTAATTTTGTCCCTTAATTTCCTTTGGCTGCTCCCACAGCCAAGGGAGAAATATCAATTTGGTGGCAAAAAGCAGATGTATGGTACAGAACAACCACAGGAGAAGAAAAGATCCAAAAATGCAGCTATAGAAACACTGAATTATATCCCCGTCTACATTTTTAAATGTTGAATTTTCTGATTTTCTTTTGTACAGTGTAATAAAGACAAAAACTTAAATATTGCCTGAAAACTATGATTTTTTTGGCTTTTCACAGGACTGTACATACATTGGTTTTTATGTTGATACACACCAGGAACCAATCCAAAGAAGTTGCATTGTTTCATGTAAGGAAGAGTTACCTTAATGTTCCACTGAAAGCACAGGCTACAAACAGACCAGGTAGTCCGGGCATGTTTTTAAAGATGTCCATAACGAAATATGGCATCATCTGAAAAACAAATAATTGTAAACAGAAAATATATACCCATGAAGAAGGATAAGAAAAATGGCTAATTCATACCTGTTGCTAAATATTTCCACTAGAAATGTTCATTAAAAGGATGACATGCGGTTCTATTCATCAACATATCATAAGGCAGGGGTTGGCAACCTTCCGCACTCCAGATGCTGTGGACTACATCTGCCAAAATGCTCTTACACCCATAATGCTGGCAAAGCATCATGGAAGGTGTAGTCCAAAACATCTGCAGTGCCGAAGGTTTCCTATCCCTGTCATAGGGAATCAAAAACTCTCTCTAACTGCCATCTAGAATGAGCGTCTTACTACATCACACATATTTGTGTGGTTCCTGATTTTTTTTTTTATTCAGTCAATAGCACAATCAATAAAATAATTATACTGCATGGATTATTGTCTTTTAGGATATCAAGATTACAGATCATTTTCGAGAATTTTTTTATTTTACATTTTTTACAGTGATGTAGCTATTCTTTTTGTGAATGCACAGATGTTCTCCAAATAAAGAGATTTTAACACAAGTATAGACAATGTAATCCTTAATTCTAGCTATTTATGAGCAATTTTAAATAATAATTATTAAGTGTTGCCTTTGATTGAAGATTACACTTGTAATAGACCCGTTATCAATCGGGAAAAAATAAAGTTCCAAAAATGCACGGCTAGTTTTGGATTAATTCAGATTTGTTACAATTCAAGTGTCGTAAATTGAATGAAAACACATATAGGGTTATTTACCAAAGTAAAAATTCTAACTCAATTTCAAATTTAAGGCTAAAGTAGAGGGACGGAAAGCATAGCAAACTCTCCTGGTTCTGTTATTTTGACCTGCAATTTGAAATTCACGTTGAATTCACCTCTCACGTTAGTGAAAAACCCAGATATTATCAACAGATCTGGATGTCCATTCAGGAAATGATAGAGATCTGTTGTCTGGGTTTCTGCAGAAATCTATAAATGACAGAGAGATCTACGCAAATCCCAGTGCTCCCTCTGATTTCAACAGCTGTGAGCACTGTACACGTAGAGCTTAGAACCATTCACTAAACTGAAGCACTGGATACATTTCTTGATTATGGTTGAACTGAGAACCAACCTGATCAGGTGCTGATATGAATCCAGCAGTCCAAGGCTCACAGTCCTTATAGTGCACATAAAATATCAATCCAGAAAACACGGCACACACTGTGATTACCCACAGTCCTATCAGGTTAAGATATAGAGCCCTTTAACAAAAATAATAAAAACTCGTGACTTTTGCTGTGATTGCATCTAGTGCAAACAGGAGTAATTTCAATTTTTAAAACAAATGCAACGTTGTAAAAGATTTTTATTTTATATAAACACTTTTTTCAACAGCTAATGTTTTAATGATGTTTAACAGAAAAGTACATTTTGATTGAAACGGTTATATAATGCAGACTTTTCAGGGCCATTCTAGGAGGCTTACAAATTGGAAACATGTTGCTATGTAGACAGTGTGGAACCCACATACACTGCTTATATAACATATATGGAGAGGAAAACCCACATGTTGCTGTTCCTTAAAGCAGACCTGTTTATTTTATGCCGCTAAATCCATTTTCTGAAATCCATTTCCCAGTCAGTGTTAGTTTAACCCAGTTTACTAGTACAGATGATATTTGTACTAGAGGTGACTTTTAATTGGTTGGTTTCAATTGGTACCTGTGTTCAAAAAAAAAATCTATATTTTCTGTGTCTAACACAAGCTATGTAGTGGTCATTACATGTAATGTCTAGTGCTGCAGTACTTCGACAAAGAGGAGAAGAATAATAATGGTTTGTACTGTGCCCCGATTTCAACAAGGCCAAGTAATATCTTTATAGGTAACAATTCTGTTCAGTAGCTTGGAAGTCCTCTACAACAGCAAATTAATTTCAGAAAATGTGTAACCTTTCTTTTCAATATGTGCATCTAGCACGTTTTGTACATTTCACCATTAGATATAATTGTCTTGTTGGTTATATACAGAAACCTCTGCTAGATTCCAAAGTTCAGTATGTGGAAAGGTAATTAGCGAACCTGAAAAGGTCTTGCATATGTCAAAATCACTGCTGACATACATGAGGTTGATCATTAATCAGTGTTTATGCTTCCTGAAACTATAATTTGGTACAGTATTAATCAATGTGTACGTAACCAAAGGAAGGTGAGGAAAACATCTTCTGAGTTCATGGATTACATATTAATTTTAAAACATGGCTCAGAAGAGACATCTGGATGAAGACCACCTGATACATCCACAAGGTACAAAGATAGTTAGGAGTTATCCCTATGGCTATAGGTAACATTTGAAGTTATCCCCATGGAGATCGAACTTATTCAGAAATTTTGTTCAGAGTCACAATTATGTTTCCAAGACTTGAGGAAACACCTATGGGTTATAGGGACACTAGGCGTTATACACATTTAATTAAATTGAATTGGTTATATTATCTAGACCCCTGGTGTCTAGATGATATAACCAATTCAATTTAATAAAATGTGTATAATGCCACCAAGGGCCAGGTCCTCACTGGAGGTATGGCTAAGGCAGAGATTACACTCTTTCTTAGTCATAGCAATTCGTGCCAGCGATGTGATAGGCTGGCGTCTGATCTGCTGGTACCAACGCCCATTGCTGCTTTGGCTAATGAGGAAGCAGTACAGATTTAACATTTCAATGAGATGAAGCAGTTACAGTGCCTAAAATGTTCCTGTACATTAGATGCTAATTCTACCAAGAATAAGATTGGATATATATTGAACATGTTTTGTTTGCTTAAAAAGGTTATTGTATCATTTATTAGCCTCAACATTTGAATGTTTCATTTTGACATAACTTGTTCATTTCTACATATTCTAAAATACCTTTAGTACACATTTTTGCAAATGTATTTTTTTTATTTTACTTTTCTTTTCACTAGTCTTTTTAATTTATTTGTGAGTCTTCCCAGTTCTTTATCTCTTTTTATTGTTTCTATAGCATTAAATTCCAGAATATTGTTAGTGGCATATGTATCACATTCTTCTTGGCTATCTCCCATACTCCTTAGACAATGCTGATTCATTAACAGAGAGCAATTTTGTGTTGTTAAAGCAATCATGATGGAATCCCAAAGAGTATGACTGCCAATTGCTCTACCTTTAGAACTTTGCCCCCAATATGTTGTTTTTTTTGTTTTATTTTTTTTTAACAGAGACTTTGTATTTTCATGAACTGGTAACCAAAATGAAACTTTGAATTTTGATTTAAATGTCTACATATCATAAGGATAACATTTATTTCATCATACACAATAAATCTTGATTTATATAAAAACAGAGGTGTATTTAATTTAAAAAATGAATGATGTTTAACCCTTTTGATACTAAGTAATTAAAAAAATGCCACCAAAATCTAAGCTTTCATGGGTTCTGAAAAGTAATGTAAACATTTTATTTCCACCTCACTATGCATATGAATAATACAATTAACACAAATATCTTTGTTCCTTTCTGTTCATGGAAAGGAATTCATTCAAATATCAGTTACATAATAATAATGTGAGAAATCGGAATACAAAATCTTAAATAACTGAAGTTTCTGGAAAGGCTATATTTACATGTGTTCCAATGCTCCTTATCTATACTGCAGTCTTTTATATGACATTCATATGATATGCAATAGATCTTATATATCGTATCTATATGATATGCTCCCCCCACCAATATCATGATCTTCTAACATCTGCTATTCTTTCTCACAAATTGTCATATTATCACCATCACCATATTGCCCCATATATATTACTCCATATGTTGTTTTATATATATATATAAAAAAAAAAAATTTGACCCACCTATTGAAAGAGAGAAGTGGAGTTAAGGGGTTCCAAAACATCAGCAGAATGTCAGGAGGAAGTTGGGAGGGGATAGATATAGGTCAGCAAAAAAGATCTCCCACAACTCTAGGCACACTACCTTTAAATTTGTGGTCGAGGTCAAAGGCTGAGGACGTATAACTCATTTTGAGCTGTAGTAGTAGTAGCAAATCAGTTGCGGTGTGTCTAAACCAATGAGTGGGGTTGTAAAAAAAAAAGAGGGCAAAAATATATAGAACTACCTAAAGTCGTACCTACATAAATTAATGAAGCCCCCTAATTATTAATCTTACTTGTACCTTGATTGATATAGTAACTGTACATACTGCCAAAACTTCCCAGGTTCTTAGGAAGATAAAATCAAGAATTAAAGATGTTATTGACTGGTAAACTTGGGCAAAATGATACAATAACCCAGTGCAGAATGTAGCGAACATGAAACTATGCTGACTGTAAGACAAAGTATTAGTGAATGTGAGTGGTGCTCCGTACTAGCTGCTGTAATGAAATACTGCTTCTTCCCAAGGCTTGTATATCGGAACATCTACCAAAACGGGACCTGAAACTAATTATTAGAAAGCTCATTGATCCCCTATTCTTGTCTTGTCCCATCTCTCATTCCTTGTGTTGTAGCAGCATTTATAACCAAACCTGAAACAGAAAGAATCATTAGTGGAAAACGGTATAACACTTAGGTACTGGCTGATCTATGCTATGCCAAGTGATGGAAATTAAGCTAAATTAGTGACTTGGGAATCTAACTAGTTGCCAACTGGAGATGAGAGGCTCTACCTATGAGTTGGGCTGTTGGGTAAGTTTGCCACCAGGTCTTGTGGTGGGATTTTGGCCTCTCTGTGATGAGTTCTGTGATGAGCTCTGAGGAAGGGCCACATACGGAGATCCTCCTCTCCTGCTGGGGCTGGGTTTTTCTTTGTCTCTAAAAAAGATGGAGACCTACGTCCCTGCATTAGTTACAGAGGTCTCAATAAAATAACTATCAAGAACGCTTACCCCATTCCACTTATTTATGAACTATTTGACAGGCTCAAAAGTGCCAGAGTGTTCACAAAACTCGACCTTAGGAGCACATATTATTTAGTCAGAATTAAGGATGGGCATGAGTGGAAGACAGTGTTCAATACCAGAATGGGACATTATGAATATCTAGTTATGCCATTTAGTTTGTGCAACGCTCCAGCAGTATTTCAAGACCTAATTAACGATGTCTTCAGAGACTACCTCCATAAGTTTGTGTTGGTGTACCTGGATGACATTCTCATCGTACCCAGACCTTCGTACCCATCAAGAACATGTGAAAACAGTGCTCAAAACCCTGCTGAAAAATGGCCAATACGGCAAGCATCCAGTTCCAGTTTGATCAAACCGAAGTACAGTTCCTCGGATATATTATATACCCCTCTGATTTTAAAATGGATCCATGCAAACTGGAAGCAGTATTACAGTGGCCATTACCCAAAGGACTTAAAGCCACACAGCGCTTTATTGGATTTGCGAATTACTATCTCAGATTCATCAAAGGCTTCTCCTCTGTAATAGCTCCTATCACCAATCTTACTCAAAAAGGAGCTAATGGCCCAAGGAAGCAATAGAGGTGTTTGAAAATGTAAATCTTTATTTGTTTCAACACCTGTTTTAGCACATCCAGATCTGTCCAAACCTTTTATTTTAGAGGTTGATGCATCAAAAACAGGTGTAGGGGCCATCCTGTCTCAACGAGAAAACCCTGATAAGCCTCTGCCTCCCTGTGGGTTTTTTTCCAAAAAGTTATCTCCTGCTGAGAGAAACTACGACATTGGTAACAGGGAATTATTGGTCATTATTCTAGCTCTTAAAGAATGCTATAGAGCTGGATTGATTTTCCCGGATCAAAGTAATCTGGCTTATATTGGGAACGCTAAGAGATTGTCTTCCAGACAGACTAGATGGTCACTTTTTCTTTCACATTTTAATTTTGTTATTACTTATAGACCAGGCACTAAGAACACTAAGACAGACACATTATCTAGACAGTATGATACAGATGAGATATCCGACAAAGAGACGTCTCTGTCAGGATTACTAGTTGATCCAGCATGCAGATCTGTATCACACCTAGGACTAAAGGTCTTACTGGGACTTAGAATGGCCGGACTTAACGTTGCAAAGAATAGTCAGAACACTTGCCAAGGTCGAGGATACAGAATGAGACACAACGATGAGGGAAAGCCAAAAGTCAAGGATACCAGAATACAGGGAAGTCAAAACGAAGCCAAAGTCAATAACCAAAAATAAAAGCTCAGGAACACACTCTTGGACAACCACTAAGGGAAACCACGACAGGGCAATGAGAGAAGGAGTTTAAATAAGTCTCCTTTAAATCTGATTGGCCCTACCCGGCCTATGACCCCAGAACGTCGTGTGTGTCCTTGCGGGACATTGTCAATACCGTAGGCGGACGTGGGGCTACAAATTGGTATGGATCCGCAGTGGCCGGAGTCTTTCAGCATCCTGCAGGATCCAGATGAACCAGCACAGGACCGCAGACTAGCATCTCCACCAGTGTCAGGAAGATAGCCATCATCACGGACACCACTAGGTGAGGACAAACATGTGACAGTCTCCTGCCATCATCCCAGGATCTTGTCCAAGTATTCTTACGTGAAATCTTTAGGCTACATGGGATACCAAAAAGCATGGTCTCTGACTGAGGTACCCAATTTATCTCCAGGTTTTGGCGTGCTTTCTGCAGTCTGGCATAGAGCTTTCTTTTTCCTCTTCGTATCACTCTCAGACCAGTGGGGCGGTGGAGAGAGCCAATCAAGCTTTAGAGTCTTATTTACGTGGCTTTGTCAATACCAATCAGATTAACTGGTCGGAACTCCTACCTATGGCTGAATTCACTAGAAATAATGCAACTCACAAGTCCTCTCCTTTCTGTCCTTTTTTTGTAAATAATGGTTATCACCACACTGTATTGCCTTCTGATTTTTCAGACATTGACATTCCTGCTTTAGACATCTGGTTGGCCTCTAACCATGACACTTGGGCATCGGTAAATGAAACGTTGCAATCGGTTTCTAGACGTACTAAAGTTCCGGCTGACAAGCGGCGTGGTACCAATCCTGTCTATTAAGTTAGGGACAGGATCTGGCTTTCCACGCGTCAAATCAAGTTGAAAGTACCTTCCATGAAACTGGCTCCTCGATTCATAGGTCCTTTCCGTGTCCGTTAATCCTGTGACGTACTTGCTTGCCCTTCCTGCTCATTTGCGGATATCAAACACGTTCCATGTGTCTTTATTAAAACCGCTTACTTGCAACTGGTACACAAAGCGATTCCTGCCTCCTCCTCCTCTGTTTGTGGGTGGACAGGAGGAATTCGAGGTCTGTTGTATACTGGATTCCAGGATATCTAGAGGTTTGTTGTCTTATTTGGTGGATTGGAAGGGTTACGGCCCGGTATATAAATACAAACATAGGCTGAGCGTACTGAAGCACAGTGAATATGCAGCTTGGCTGAATGTAGGCCAGATGTAGTGAAACACAATGAAGCTTGGTGGAACATAGGCCAAATACACTGAACCACAGTTGATATATTATAAAGTGGCTGAACATAGGTAGAAAACACTAAACCACAGTGAATATGTAACATGGCCAAATAAAAGCTGAATGTATTGAAACAGATTGAACATTTAGCATAGCCAAGCATAGGCCGAATGTACTGATAACAATGATTATATAGTGTGGCTGAACAAAGGTCGAATACACTGAACCACAGTGAATATGTAATGTGGCCAAATGTATTGAGAAATATTGAATATGTAGCAGGGTTTAACATAGGCCAAATGTACTGAAACACAGAGAATATGTAGTGTGGCCAAACCTAAACCGGATTTACTGAAACACATTGAATATGTAGCATGGCCGAGCATAGGCCAAATGTACTGAACCACAGTGAATATGTAACGTATAAAGTGGCTGAAGATAGGCTAAATATACTGAAACCAAATGTAGCGTGGCTGAACGAAGGCCAAATATATGTAGCATGGCTGGACACATTTAGTGTAGCTTAACAAAGGCCAAATATATGTAGTGTGGCCAAAGAAATGTAGATAGACTGGACACAGGACAGATGTACTGAATAGTGAATATGTAGAGTGTCCAAAAGAAGGACAAATGTACTCAACCACAGTGAATATGTACCTTGGCAGAACATAGGTTGAAAACACAGAACCATAGTGAATATGTAAAGTGGGCAAACGAAAGCCGATTGGATTGAAACAAATGTAGCATGGCAGAATGTAGGCTGAAGTTACTAAAACACAGTGAATACGTAGTGCTGAAACAAAGTGTATATGTAAGGTGGCTTAATGAAAGATGAATGTATTGAAACAGTAGCATGGCCGAATGTAGACCAAACATTTTAAAACACAGTAAATATGCAGTGTGGCCAACCATAAGCCGAATTTACTGAACCACAGTGAATATTTAATGTGACTGAGCGAAGTCTGAATGTATTGATACAAATTGAATATGTAGCATGGCCGAACATAGGGCGAATGTTCTGAAATACAGTGAATATGTAGTGTTACTGAACCTAAACTGGATATACTGAATCACAGTGAATATGTAGCGTAGAAGAAACGTAATGAACCACAGTGAAAATGTAACGTGGCTGAATGTAGGCTAAATATACAAAAACCAAACATGGCATGGCTGAACGAATGCAGAATATGTTATGTGTCTGAAAGGAGGTCAAATATATGTAGATTGGCCGAATGTATGTAGATGGGAAAAAACATAGGCCACATGTACTGAACCATAGTGAATATGTAGTGTGTCCAAACGTGTGTTGAATATACTGATATGATGGTGAATAAGTAGCATGACTAAGTAGCCGGAATGAACATAGATCTACTGAAGCACCATGAATATGTAGCATTGCCGAATGTAGGCTGAAAGTACATAAACAAGGTGAGTTTGTAGCAAGACCGAACATATCGAAACATAATGAATATGTAACTTGGCTGAACATGGGCCGAATATGCTAAAACCATTGTGAATAAGTAGAATTGCCTAATGTAGACCAAACGTGAAGCCTGTACTGAAAGTGCAATGAATAGTAAGTAAATATGTAGTGTAGCCGAACGTAGGCCGAATGTACTGAACCACAGTGAATATGTAACATGATTAGGGCTATTTAATAGATTATGTTGAACTATTTTACTTTTTAAATCTTTTTTATTGGTATTATTGCATATATATTGAATGTACTGCATTAAAAAAATTTGCTAAATGTATATTTTGCTATAAATGGAAATGAAAAATGGAAAAAGAATGTTTTATAAGATAAATCAATGTTTATTGATAAGGATGCCAAACACATGTGGACAATATTCAAATGCACTAATTGTGTGTAAAGCAAGGTATATAAAAGCTCCCAGAGAGGGGGAATAATCAAGCACTTCATGTCCTGACGAAGCCGTCTGTGAACGGAGAAACGCGTAGATACGGAAGTACGTCAATAAGGGGGCAGAGCCTATTCAGAAGCCGGGCGTTTCAAAAAAGCAGAAGCAAGACCAGACGCCATCCGGACAAAATAAAAAGGCACCCCACAGACGATCAGCCATCTTCTGGTACAGGAGACATCTCCCAGTGCGGGAAAACCTGTTTGTGGGTAAACGGATTTACACCGTTGTACTCACCACCACATCTAGTAAGCAGTAACCTGCTATACATTTTGATAGTGTTTGGCTTCACTGTTGCATCAATTAAGCAGTAATCTGCTAAACATATGTCAACTAAACAGTGAATTTAGGTGTATTTTATGTTTTTATTATTATCATTCTTTTATTACTTTTTATAGCCTGTTATGTATTGATTATTATCTTCTGTTTTTAATTTGTGGTAATACTGTAATAAACTTTCATCCAGCTAATTAAGCTGATTTAATTCAATGTTTATAGAATTCAATAATATTCACTGATCCATGCGGATCTGTTCTATGATCCTTTTCATATATTTTTTCCCATATATGCTGAGCTTGAATTGGGATATTAAGCAACAAGCAATATAAGTATAAATTTATTTTTTTATCACTTGATTGCATGTGGGAAAGGGGTTTTGTCCTTTAACATTGCTCCACTTCTTAACACTATAATTTCTATTTTTGTATGTGGTGAAGGGATCACTTTGAAGTGTGGTAGCAGGCAATTAAAGAGATACTGTGTAATACACAATTGTTAAATAACTCTACTTTACCCCTGTAGAACTGTGTATATTAAGCGCTCCAGTATTGTAAGTTTTTTCTGGAATATGTAACATGGCCGAACACAGGACAAAAACACTGAACCTTAGTGAATATGTAACATGGCCGAATGTATTGAAACAGATTGAATATGTAGCATGGTCAAACATATGTACTAAAACACAGTGAATATGTAGTGTGGCCAAAGGTAGGTCATATGTCCTGATACACAGTGAATATGTAGAGAGGCCTAACATATGCCAAATACACCAAAGCACAGTGAATATGCAACGTGGCCAAACAAAGGCCGAATGTATTGAAACACATTGAATATGTAGTTTGGCCAAAAGGAGGCTGAATGTACTGAAACACAGTGAATATGTAACGTGGCCAAAGGTAGGCCAGATGTACTGAAACACAGTAAATATGTAGTGTACGAATGTAGGCCGAAAGTATTGGAACAAAGTGAATATATAGCATGGACAAACATAAACTGAATACACTGAACTACAGAGAATATGCAGCCTGGCCGAATAAAGGCCAATCATACATTGTTAAAAGAAGAGAACCGGGGGAGGAACTCTATTCTAAGTCAGGAAGCCCATGAGATGGAAGTTGAGTGCGGTAAACTAGCAACCAGGTTTTTAAAACATTGGCATCATGTGAGGAGGAAGCTGGGATGGGGTAGATGTAGGCCAGCAAAAAAAGGTCTCTCTCTCTTTTTCTGTCACTCTCTCTCTCTCTATATATATATATATATATATAATTATATTGAAGAAAGATGCACTCTCCGGTCTTTTTAAGAATATTAACGGTCTTTAATCCATCAAAGGTTTACAGGTTGTTTGATCAACGTTTCGACCCGTTCGGGTCTTCCTCATATGAGCTGTTGTATACAGCAAACACAAACTCTAAGGAATCCATGTTTAAAATGGAACGAGGCAAAAATGTAATTCTTTGGGAAACTGATTTGCATATGCCCACCCAGAATGCTTTGCAGTAGTAACATCACAGCAAATTTGTAATTTTGTTGGGAAAAGCAAGTCTTGTGGCTTGATTGGAGTGCATATCTTTGTTTAACATTGTATTATCAGACTATCCACTGACTTCAGGTGGAAGGGGTAAAACATATACTTACAGACAGTGTAAACAATATAATACCTATAGGATAGTACAGCAATGAAATATATACAATGCAGAAATGAAACCATATAACCTAAGGATAGCAGAGGGATAATGTCTCTGAAAAACATTATATAGCTAAGTCTTCATTGAACTTGCTAAACACTGAATCGACTTCAAGGTCGCTGTCTGAAAAAATAATATTGTAATGAAGGCAGAAAGCTAGGTTGATTGTAAAACAGAGACAAGTATAAAGTAAATCCGTCTATTATCGGTTAGTTGTGGTGAGTAGAAAAAATCTTCCACAAATGTAATTGTTTGAAATATTGTTATTAAAATGAATGGTTAGTTTTCATGCTGTCAATAACATTGTACTTCTGATGACCAATCAAAGCATTATTCACCACAACTTACAGCTTTGCGTGTTTTTCCGATTTGCATGATATACATCTCTGAACTTGTGACTGGTTTACTCCATAGATTCCTAGCCAGGTAAATGTTCCTCCTACTGTAACCGTCCAGAATGTATACCGTTTTAAAGGATCTAAATCAAACCTAAAAAAGAAGATGAAGATCTTAATAATAATATTATTAAGTCGAGCAGGAATTACTAGGGTACTGACTGGGTACTATGCACATAGATTTAGAAATTCGTGCTGCAGTGAAAAGGTGTTTTGATAAGTTTGGGGAATTCATTTTCGTAAGCTACTCTGTCAATTATTCTACTTGAGAGAAAAAAAATGTCATGTTACCATGGCACTAATTAGTTACGTATGACTACGTGGAACTTTATTGGTGTATCATCCATATATTCATGTGATGTTTAGAATTCTTTGATTAACTCACTGTAATATGTCCAGACGTGACCCATTCACTGCTGCTTCCCAGATATTAGTAGGTCCTCCATGTATAATTGTTCCTTGAATGAGGACAGACAAAAATCCAATGACCATAACTATCATTTGAAAAGCATCTGACCACACAACAGCTTTCAATCCTCCCTAAAAAAAATGGAAAAATGTTATTATAAAAAAACTAATTTCTTCAACTGTATATCCTACGAAAGGAAAGATCACGCAACTTGTGAGGTAACAGCATGCACATGACTAAAAAGGTAATCTAGCTGCACTCGTGAAAACTCATAAATATAGAATATTAAAACTCATTTTAGCATCTTATAATTTGCGAGATTATATGGCATTTTGATTCCTACAAAAGCATTTTGCCGATGCTTGTCGTTGATGTCATATTTTTGATTGATAACATACCAGAGTGCAGTAGAAGGTACAAACAATACCAGTTGTAAATACCGAACCCCAAAGATCAAATTTAGTAACTGTAAAAATAAAGTAGTTTCCGTTAGTAAGATACTTATTAAAAGAGAGCAAAGATTGATTGCTTTTTGGTATGGTTATACTACTTATAGATAAACAGTTCTAATATTTAACACTGTTCTGTCCCTAAGTTCCCACTTCTCGAGCCCGTGAAAACCTATCCCTAACCCACCCTGGCATGTTATGGCATGGTTACGCCAACAAGGCCTGACATATGAAATTGGAAAAACAAGTTCCTCATTGGTTTCAAAGAGTTTAAATAGTAAATTCATGGAGTTATTTTTGCAGTAATGTTTGTGAAAACACTGTACATACTCAGACATGCATAAGTAATACAATTGTTATAAAATGGGAAAAAGGGACACGAGACCTCATTTACCATAAACCAGGTATAGACATTGAATATGGTTTGATATGAATGCCTCTTTAAGGTTTTGAAGTCTATGTTTGACTTTTGTCTGTTTTTTTTTACAATGATGTGACAATTTCTTTTCTGATATCACTCTAAATTCTCTAAACAAACATAGGCAATAGGCATTCTGGACTCTGATGACCCACTTGCTGTCACATTAGGTTGTGTGAACTGGCAAACCTTACCCAATAATTTAGCAGTTTACAACCAAACTGCGCACTACAAACAGCAACTAATAGACCCATAAACTCTATTTAAATAATGCCTAGAGGTCATTGCACTCCTTTAGCCTTGTTGGGCATCACATTTTATATTATTTTACAATTTATCTTCCATTTACACAACACCAAGTACAGCATGTATGAGTTTTATGGTGTCTACACCTGTATGAAGAAATAAATCTGTGATCAAAAGTCTCAGAAGACATTCACACTTGAAAGTATAACTGATTGCACCAAGGCACCAACACAACCTGGATGCATTTGATAGATTTTGGCCTCATTGATGTGCTCTGTTTGGTTTTTATGTTCAAATCTTTATAGTTTTTGCACAAAAAATTAAATGTTTTGCAGAATGCTGAACCATAAGCCTGCCTCCTTGGTTTTGCCAGAAATACTTCTTTATCAAAGGTATACACACAGACTCAGACCCAACAGCACGGAATAAGCTAGTTTTAATTCACATCCTGGTCGCAGCCAGTCAGGGAGAAACTGCAAACAGGCAGTGATATCCTTCTATATGTCTTCCCGGGTGTCCTCTTCTTCTAAAGCAGGTTACTTTGTAGTTCAGATCATTCATTACTGTCCGAGGTGTAACTGTTTGCATATATTTAATAAGGAAGTTTTGTTCTGGGTTAAGAGGCCGTGGCTAACGTGGCAGAATTAAGCTTCAACATTCTGTAAATCATTGATTTTGTTTTGTGCAAAATCTGTAAAGTATTAAACTTGCACAAAAATACAACATAACGAGACAAAAACCTCAAATCTAGAAACATAGAAACATAGAAACATAGAAACATAGAATGTGACGGCAGATAAGAATCATTCGGCCCATCTAGTCTGCCCAATTTTCGAAATACTTTCATTAGTCCCTAGTCTTATCTTATAGTTAGGATAGCCTTATGCCTATCCCACGCATGCTTAAACTCCTTTACTGTGTTAACCTCTACCACTTCAGCTGGAAGGCTATTCCATGCATCCACTACCCTCTCAGTAAAGTAATACTTCCTGATATTATTTTTAAACCTTTGTCCCTCTAATTTAAGACTATGTCCTCTTGTTGTGGTAGTTTTTCTTCTTTTAAATATAGTCTCCTCCTTTACTGTGTTGATTCCCTTTATATATTTAAATGTTTCTATCATATCCCCCCTGTCTCGTCTTTCCTCCAAGCTATACATGTTAAGATCCTTTAACCTTTCCTGGTAAGCAGGGCCGGACTGGGAGAAAAATTAGGCCCGGGCATTTTTTTAACACAGCGGCCCACTAAAAAGGGGGCGGGGCAGAGGAGGTGTGTTTTGTCACCAATGACAGACACGCCTCCTCTCAAAGTGAGCATGTTGGTTCAATGCTCTTCCAGGGCAGACCATGCGCAGAGCTCTGCTGAAGAGCTCTAGCATGAGAAAAAAATCCTGTATTTGTTTTGCACAGTGCAAGCAAATTTAATAACATGCTTGCACTGTGTTTCCTTGCAACTTGTCTCTGGTGTCTATAAATGGATACCAGGAGACAAAAGGCCAGGAAAGAGTATTGTGCATGTGTTTGGAGCCTGCTTGTGGTATTGCGTGTGTGTAGAGTGAGCTGGCCGTGGTGTGGTATTGTGTAATAAGGTCGGTTTTAGTCGTGTTGTGTTTGTGGTGTAATGTGATGCATATGTGGCTATGGGCTGTAGAGAATGTGTGTATTGGGGATATAGCATGTGTGTGCATACAGGCTATAGTGTGTGTGTGTTTAGGGGTGTAGAATGTGTTTGCTTACAAGGAATCTAGTGTGTGTATAGGGGATCCAGAGTGTGTATGTTAAAGGACCACTATAGTGCCAGGAAAACATACTCGTTTTCCTGGCACTATAGTGCCCTGAGGGTGCCCCCGCCCGGCTCTGGAAAGGGGTTAAAAGCTCTCCTCCTCCGATCCGCCCCGTCGGCTGAATGTGCGCGCATCCAGCCGGTCGCATAGGAAAGCATTTATAATGCTTTCCTATGGACGCTTGCGTGCTCTCACTGTGATTTTCACAGTGAAAAGCACGCAAGCGCCTCTAGCGACTGTCAATGAGACAGCTGCTAGAGGCTTTGGGGGAAGGCTTAACCCATTGATAACCATAGCAGTTTCTCTGAAACTGCTATGTTTATAAAACAATGGGTTAACCCTAGAAGGACCTGGCACCAAGACCACTTCATTAAGCTGAAGTGGTCTGGGTGGCTAGAGTGGTCCTTTAAGAGTGTAGTGTGTGCGTGTATACATATATACAATATATACATATATATATATATTCCAATATTTGGAAGTATTGTGTATGTTTGTGGTGCAGTGTGTTGGGGGGGTTCTGTGTGTATGTGAGGGGTGCAGTATGTGTGTGTGAGAGTGAGGTGTGTGATGGGTGTGAGAGTGCCGTGTGTGAGTGATGGGTGTGAGAGTGCCGTGTGTCAGTGAAGGGTGTGAGAATGCTGTGTGTGAGTGATGGATGGGAGAATGCCGTGTGTGAGTGATGGGTGTGAGAATGCTGTGTGTGAGTGATGGATGTGAGTGTGCTGTGTGAGATGGGTATGTGAGATGGGTATGTGAGATGGGTGTGAGAGTGCTGTGTGTGTGTGAGTGCTCTGTGAGAGTGATGGGTGTGAGAGTGCTGTGAGAGAATGCTGTGTGTGATGGGTGTGAGAGTGCTGTGTGTGATGGGTGTGAGAGTGCTGTGAGAGTGTTGTGTGTGTGTGAGTGCTCTGTGAGAGTGCTGTGAGAGTGTTGTGTGTGTGTGAGTGCTCTGTGAGAGTGCTGTGAGTGTGATGGGTGTGTGAGTGCTCTGTGAGAGTGCTGTGAGTGTGATGGGTGTGAGAGAGTGCTGTGTGTGTTAAAGTGCTGTGTGTGATGGGTGTGAGAGTGCTGTGTGAGAGAGAGTGCTGTGTGTGTGTGAGAGTGCTGTGTGTGATGGGTGTGAGAGTGCTGTGTGAGAGAGAGTGCTGTGTGAGAGAGAGTGCTGTGTGTGTTAAAGTGCTGTGTGTGATGGGTGTGAGAGTGCTGTGTGAGAGAGAGTGCTGTGTGTGATGGGTGTGAGAGTGCTGTGTGAGAGAGAGTGCTGTGTGTGTGAGAGAGTGCTGTGTGTGATGGGTGTGAGAGAGTGCTGTGTGTGATGGGTGTGAGAGTGCTGTATAAATGTTATTGTGTGTATGTAGGGGGGGTAAATAATAAAAAAAAAAACTGGTATTATTCCCCCCCCTCCCTTCTTACCTTTAGCCTGGGAGGGGGGGACCGGCACGCTGGGACTGGAGGCGGGGAGGCAGTGTTCCCTGGTGGTCCTCGTGGGTGAGTGAACTCCTCGCGAGATCCGGTCGTTGCCATGGCAACGCGCCGGATCTCGCGAGAGGATCCCGGCGGAGCCGCAAATTAGAGCTCCGCCGGGTCCTCTCTCTAGCCTGCCTGGCTGGCTGTCTCCCTCCCTCCCTCCCCGCCGGCGGCCGCATGTGGGCCGGTCAGGGAGATCCTTGATCTCCCCACCGGCCCGTCGTGGCAGACAGCGGGGCCGGCGCTCGGATAGTGCCGGCCCTGCATAGACCGGCAGGGGAGATCCTGGGACCTGCGATACCGGCCCACCGGGCATTTGCCCGGTGTGCCCGATGGCCAGTCCGGGCCTGCTGGTAAGTTTTATCCCGCAATCCATGAACCAGTTTAGTAGCCCTTTTCTGAACCCTCTCTAAGGTATCAATATCCTTCTGAAGATACGGTCTCCAGTACTGTGTACAATACTCCAAGTGAGGTCTCACCAGTGTTCTGTACAATGGCATGAGCACTTCCCTCTTTCTACTGCTAATACCTCTCCCTATACAACCAAGCATTCTGCTAGCATTTCCTGCTGCTCTATTACATTGTCTGCCTACCTTTAAGTCATCAGAAATAATCACCCCTAAATCCCTTTCCTCATATGTTGAGGTTAGGACTCTATCAAATATTCTGTACTCTGCCCTTGGGTTTTTACGTCCAAGATGCATTATCTTGCACTTATCCACATTAAATGTCAGTTGCCACAGTTCTGACCATTTTTCTAGTTTACCTAAATCATTTGCCATTTGGCTTATCCCTCCTGGAACATCAACCCTGTTACATATCTTAGTATCATCAGCAAAAAGACATACCTTACCATCAAGACCTTCTGCAATATCACTAATAAAAATATTAAAGAGAATGGGTCCAAGTACAGATCCCTGAGGTACCCCACTGGTGACAAGTCCAAGCTTCGAATATATTCCATTAACTACAACCCTCTGTTGCCTGTCACTCAGCCACTGCCTTACCCATTCAACAATATTTGAATCCAAACTTAAAGATTGCAGTTTATTGATAAGCCTTCTATGTGCAACAGTGTCAAAAGCCTTACTGAAATCTAGGTAAGCAATGTCTACTGCACCACCCTGATCTATAATTTTAGTTACCCAATCAAAAAAATCAATAAGATTAGTTTGGCATGATCTCCCTGAAGTAAACCCATGTTGTCTCTGATCTTGAAATCCATGTGTTTTTAGATGTTCATCAATCCTATCCTTTAACATGGTTTCCATCACTTTCCCCACTACTGAAGTAAGGCTTACTGGCCTATAGTTGCCCGACTCCTCCCTATTACCTTTCTTGTAAATGGGCACAACATTCGCTAACTTCCAATCTTCTGGGACTACTCCTGTTAACAATGATTGGTTAAATAAATCTGTTAATGGTTTTGCTAGTACACCACTAAGCTCTTTTAATAGCTTTGGGTGTATTCCATCAGGTCCCATTGACTTATTTGTCTTTACTTTTGACAGTTGAAATAGAACCTCTTCCTCTGTAAACTCACGTGTAATAAATGACTCATTTATCCTTTTTCTTAACTGAGGTCCCTTTCCTTCATTTTCATCTGTAAATACAGAACAAAAATATTCATTGAGGCAGTCAGATAGACCTTTATCCTCTTCTACATACCTTCCTTCTTTTGTTTTTAATCTAACTAATCCTTGTTTTACTTTTCTTTTCTCATTTATGTATCTAAAAAATGTTTTATCCCCCTTTTTTACTGACTGCTATTTTCTCTTCTGTGTGTGATTTGGAAGCTCTTATAACTTGCTTAGCCTCTTTCTGCCTAATCTTATAGATCATTTTGTCTCCCTCACTCTGGGTTTTTTTATAATTCCTAAATGCTAACTTTTTGTTTTTAACTATTTTGGCTACATCTGCGGAGTACCACAGTGGTTTCTTGAATTTTTTGCTTTTACTGACAAGCCTAATGCAATTTTCTGTTGCCTTCAATAGTGCAACTTTTAAATAATCCCATTTCTCTTGGACTCCATTTAAATTGCTCCAGTCTGATAATGACTCCTCTACCCATATTCTAATTTTAGAAAAGTCTGTTTTTCTAAAGTCTAAAACTTTTGTTTTTGTGTGGTGTGACTCAGTCACTGTTCTTATATTAAACCACACTGACTGATCACTGGATCCTAAACTTTCACCTACAGTAATATCTGATACCAAATCTCCATTTGTTAACACTAAATCTAGTATGGCCTCTTTACGAGTTGGCTCCTCAACAACTTGTTTTAGAGACATTCCCAGTAGGGAGTTTAGAATATGTCTCTAAAAATACAATCCAAGTCCAGTTGGGAATCTCCTTTCAGCCCAGATAGGGGTAAGAAAGGCACATATCCCTCCTAGAACCCTGAAATCAAAAAACAAAAAAAGTGCCACCTGGTTGTACAGATGCAGGGGATAACCCTAATAGAAAACAAGAAAAAAGACACTAATTCGCCAGCACAAATACCCAGCTTGATATTGTGCCAGGAAAGAGCTGTACAACCCTATAAACATGTACTTATGATAAAAGATGTGTATCGTAATTTATTAAAGATAAAAGCCTTAGTCTCCTATCCACTAGGTACATAGGTGTAGCGTGTTGACGTCACGGAGAGTATGCGGAAGGAGGTCGGGCTACAGTGGACCATGAACATATGACTGAGAGGCGGGTTTTATCGGGACCAATGAGATGTGAGTTTCTCACTTTGACGAACCAGCTGTTAACAATGTTCAATTGTGTATTGGACATTTAAAGAAGCGGGAGAGACCGGTAGCTTTTGTATTTGCCCCTGACGACGGCGTCTTGATACGCTGAAACGTGCGTCGGGCTTCTTTCCTATTTTATTTTTAACTATGCACTTGGGTTGTAGGGGTTAGCACTTAACTGAGTTTCCACTTTTTTTAGTCCCTCCATAGGACTAGTTGTGTTAGTAGGTATTAGATCTATGTTATGCTGAGGTATTAGGGATTCTATTTAGGTAGCATCTAGCTGTCAATACTAAGATAGTTTCTAGACGATCTATGGTTATGTAGTGTAGAATGGAGTGTCTATATGCCCTCTAGATACCTACTATTAGTCTTTGCTAGATCTCTTTATTTAATTTAGAACAGGCTATATCTACCTCCAGTTCCATCTGTCCATTGCTACCTTTAGCTTCTTACATAGATATTTTCTATCTACTACACCTATGTACCTAGTGGACAGGAGACTAAGGCTTTTATCTTTAATAAATTACGATACACATCTTTTATCATAAGTACATGTTTATAGGGTTGTACAGCTCTTTCCCGGCACAATATCAAGTTGGGTATTTGTGCTGGCGAATTAGTGTCTTTTTTTTAGTTTAGAATATGTGTGCTCCTGGCACAAGTAGCTAATTTTGTTTTCCAATTTACATCAGGAAGATTAAAGTCACCCATGATGATAACTTCCCCCTTCATTGTCATTTTAGCTATTTCCTCAACTAGTAGATTATCTAACTCTTCAATTTGTCCTGGGGGCCTATAAATCACACCTACACGAGTTACTGTGTGATTACCAAATTCTAACGTAGCCCAAACAGACTCTGTTTGCCTCACTAACTTTTATTAGGCTAGATTTTATGCTATCCTTCACATACAAGGCCACCCCTCCCCTTTCTTGCCTTCCCTATCTTTCCTATATAAAGAGTACCCTGGTATTGCTATGTCCCAGTCATTTTTCTCATTGTACCATGTCTCAGTAACAGCGACTAAATCTACACTATCAGTTGCCATTATTGCCATAAGTTCATGGATCTTATTCCCTAAACTGCGAGCATTTGTAGACATGACTCTAAGCTTATCATTTTTTAACACACTTGCTACAGGCACCTTCTGTCCTTGTTTTGGGGGACAATTGGATTGATGTTTTATCACCCTTTTGCCCCCCCCTCCTAGTTTAAATACATCCTAGCAAAACCTCTGAACTGCTTACTGAGAACATTTGTTCCCTTTTGAGAAAGATGCAAACCATCTTTTTTGTACAGCTTATCTCCATTCCAAACAGAGCTACCATGAGAAATAAAGCCAAATCCTTGCTCCCGACACCATTCACCAAGCCACAAATTAAAGTCCCTAATATGCATCCGCCTGTCGTTCTGAGTGTTATGCACAGGCAGAACTTCAGAGAATGACAGTGTGGAAGCAACCTGCTGTATATCATTGGCAAAAACACTAAAAACTTCATTGCAAGCCAAGTCATTTGTCCCTAGATGGACAAGTACATCCAATTCCCCTTCCTGCTTTGCTTGCTTAACAATATTACAGATACGTCTCCTGTCTCTGTGAGCAGTAGCTCTGGGAAGACACCTCACAAGACCACCATTGTCCATCTCCACACCTCTTATAATGGAATCCCCCAACAACAACTGCTTTCTATTAGGCCTCACCATAGTCTCCAAGCCGGTCTCCACAACACCACTAGCCTCAGTGCCTCTCTCCACAACACCACTAGCCTCAGTGCCTCTCTCCACAACACCACTACTAGTGCCTCTCTCCACAATACCACTAGTCTTAGTGCCTCTCTCCACAACACCACTAGCCTCAGTGCCTCTCTCCACAACACCACTAGCCTCAGTGCCTCTCTCCACAACACCACTAGTCTTAGTGCCTCTCTCCACAACACCACTAGCCTCAGTGCCTCTCTCCACAACACCACTAGCCTCAGTGCCTCTCTCCACAACACCACTAGTCTTAGTGCCTCTCTCCACAACACCACTAGCCTCAGTGCCTCTCTCCACAACACCACTAGCCTCAGTGCCTCTCTCCACAACACCATTACACTCTGAAAGTGCAGAAAATGAATTATGAAGAGCAACAGACTGTGCAAAATGCCTTTTATCCACAACTCTAAGTCTACCAGATCCTACAGTAATCCATCTGCCTTTCCTAGCATGTCTCTGCGGCAGTGGCTTTGCAGCAGTTCCAGTCTGAGTTTGTTCACCAGATAATTTACAAATCTCAGACTGCAAAAATACAATCTCCTGCCGCAAGATAGAGAACTGTCTACAGATTAGACAACAACCAAACCTCCAAAAAGTGGAACGTGAAACAAATGCATAGCAATTGTTACACTGAACTAAGCCTGCCATTCCAATTAGGAGAATAATTTAAATCTAACAAATCTTAACTTTGTATTTATCCTCCTGAATACCTCAGATTACCTCCAGGTTATCTCCAGAATATCTCCAACTACACACTTAGAAACAGCACTTGGAAGTAGCACCAAGCTATCTAATGCATTAAAGTAGTAAAAGTGACCACCATGTGCCTTTAAAATCTCTGCCATTGGGAAGTCATTCTACAGGTAAGTCTGGTCATCCACAAGATCAGATAAATCTTCATCTACTCTCTCTTTCTCTCCTCTTCGCTCAGTTCTGTTTGCTTCCCTCTTTAAATCTCCTCTCCTTCTATTGCTGTCACTCTCTTCTATTGTATGACCGTGTCAGTGATGGCAGAAACTGAAGCATGAATTGCTAACATTTGTTTCTGGTTACATTTTCGTTTTCTTTTTCTTTTTCATGAGGCTTATCCTATGTATTTTGATGCAATTGACTTTAACCTCCCAAACACTTTGCTTGGTATTAGTAAAGGTGTCTGAAATAGCTATTTGTAATTTTTACCTTACAGTTCAGTAGATATCTCCTAATCTAAATGTTGGATTGCTGAAAGAATACCAAGAGGGAACAATCTACTATCCTAAATAGGGCAATCCTGCAAGAATACGAATTATGAGGTTATTTACTAAACGGTTGCAAGATACTGCTGCGCCATGGATCAGAATTTTTTTGTCTGCATACAATTCTGGAATGAAAATGATGGCTCCATTTTGTCCAAAAGTGAACGAGCAAACGGACAAAATTCTGCTCGGCAAAACATTTTTTTTTTATTTCGACAAAATTCAAATTCTGGTGACTCGTAAGATTTGTTCATTATATATCATACTTTATATACAATGTTAAAAAAAAGTAAATCAATTACTTACTAAGTCTTTTAATGTTTGTATTAGAAACATACCTTGATTCAGTGCTAGGGCTGGAGCATAGATTACCACCCCTGTATAGAGAATCTGTGAATCAAAATATATGGAAAAGATTATACCGGCTATAACAGATAACAAAATATACTCCAATTAAGTAACAGTTTGGAATAGCACATATTGTGATCAGAGATTCGCTTAAAATATATTTGCAAACTTTGTTAACAAACACAATGTGTGACCTGCTACTGTAATAAGTAGTAATTATAAGTGGATATTGTTATTGTATAAAACATTATGTTTTTATATTATCTTTAAAATGGCAATCAGTTTGAAATTAAATATCTTTCCTTCTACAGTGTAATGTTGCTTACTATTAACTATATGTACTATGCTATTCCTGCACCAGTCCTGATTCCTAATTGTGGTCAAGATGAAAGTAGTGGATAATTCCTTGCCTCCAATGGCACATATTTCACATATGTATCTGCTTGAGGTCACCATTCAATGGCAGATGGTAACAGAGGGTGCTGGGCTATGACACCATACGTCAATGGGTAAATGAAGAAGATAAGAAAAGAAGGAGAAATCAGATTGGTACCAGGACCGGCAGAAATGTCTCTACTTCCTTACGCTTTCCACTCCTGTCCTCAATGTAGCTAGGGGCTGTATATCATTCCAACACAATAACATTTACAAGATATTGAAACATCCATCCTAGGGAAGCTTACCGTTTGTATGATGTAGATACCTGTTGCAGCATTGCGAACTATTTTACTAAATCGTAGTTCTAAATACTTAAAGGGAGAAGAACACAAAACATTAAAATCACTAAGCCCTGGGGAAATACAAAACATAAAGAATTTGATATTTTTATTGGTTGACATTTTTTTTTATAAGCAAAATTTTTATTTAAACACGATGTAAAATGCAAACAACGTTGTAAAAAAACCCACATGATTTGGAACTATAATCATATTGAAACATGTAAAATTATGAATAAATAAGTATCAATATTATAGTCAATGCCCTTTGCATATCATCAGTACGTCATATACCTTATGTATATAGAATAGCTTAGTGGCTTAATTATTAGAGAAATGGATAACACATTGCACTAGCGTGTGGCATGAAAATATTTGGAACATATATTTTATTTTAAAAAGAGAACTCTTGTTTGTCACACCATTAATTTAAACATTTATTTTTAATCTGAAATTCATCATCCATTTTAAATTTTACAAAAAGAGGGCAATCGAACACAAAATGTATACCAAAGCCTAAAGGGTTAACTGGTAATCAAAATAGGGATAACCCCAATTATGTAACTGCAAACAGATGCTAAAATAACTCTTTATGGGTTCAAATCTCAATAGATTACCATCAAGTTACAACAAGAAATAAACTTTTAAATTCAATTTAATATAAAGAAGAAACAGAAAAGATTTGAATTAAATACATTTATTTATTTTTACCTCTAACAAGTGTTTTATAACTTGATAGTAATCTATTGAGATTTGAACCCATATAGGGTTCTTTTCTCATTTGTTTGCATTTTACATTTTATTATCTATTAATACTCAAGACACTTTCTGTTACCTTCACAGGCCCTGCACATAGCTATGAAACAAGGACATTCAAAAAGCTATGACTTACCTCATATGTACTTGTAATTCCTGATCTATAGAATACTGGTAAAAAGATGTTAGCAGACAAAATAATTACAAATGTGTAGGAAATAATGAAATATAGATAGTAGGCGCCATAACGAACAACTTCTGCTGGAGTTCCCAAAACTGTAACTGCAGACATGAAGCTAGCGGTCAACGATAGAGCCACGGGCCAACATGTCATCTGCTTTCCGCCAACCAAAAATTCATTGGAAGTTTCCTTTTTTCTATCCTTAATTGCAAAGAAGATGCCAATTGAAGCAGAAATGATTAGAAGAACAGCGAACACGGCATAGTCCCATATGACAAAATCTGGGATTTCAGGAAGCTCAAATTTTGACATGTCCAAAATTTTGATAAAGCAGTCTAGAGGCACAATGTTTTCCTACAAAAATAAAATTTGATTGAAACTAATCGTAAAACTCTAAAAGCAGAAGTGACTCAGTGTGAACAGAAAGTAGCACTTCAATATCAACATGTGAATATCTGCTCTTAAACACCAGTGAGGGGATACCTTTCTTCCCTCACCATAAATACATAGAGAAAAATGATTAACAGGATAAACTCTGTAATCAGTGGGTGGAGCACTGAGTAATAGACAAGTAGATATTAGCTTACCCCTCTGTATGGTAATATAAATCTCGATGTGGAGTGGTACATAAAAGAGAAATAAAAACATAAAACAAACCTAGTGCAGATGGAATTTGCAATATACTAGATGCAAAATAAATAAAGGTAGACACACTCACAATAAAACTCTAAAAGGTTTACTATATCACTAAAAAATAAATAAAAAAAAAATTATTTGCAACTTGTAACCTAAGGAAATAAATGAAGAAGAGTAAAAAAAAATATGGTGTTAATTTGGCATAATAGAAAATCTATAAAAATGTTCAGGTATGTTTTTATTATTATATGGCTAAGCATTACATTGGGTAATTGAAATATTTAATTACATTTCTGTGCTATAAAATAGAATGGTTACTAAAGAAAAAGGCAAGTGGATTGGTCCATAGATTATAACTAACTGATCTGATTTTTTAGCTGTTTGTTTGCTGCAAAAAATTTTTATGTATTCAATGCTACATCATTGCACTCTGCAAATAGAAACATTAAAATGAGTTATTTACTGTTTTTATAATCCATGGTGATAATAAAACATAAAATCATAGCAGGTCAGCAATACAATAGACAGCTGTGCTATCTATACATAGAACGGGAAACTGATTAAACATATTTTGTTTTTACAATTGAAAGACAGCTCAAAAACCTGTTTATTATACACACCATGACTTCAATAACATTTATAGAATCTCTGGAATATAGATGTCGATATGACAACATTATGTAATATTATGCCTTATTTTTAATACACTTTGATGACACAAGAAGCCGCATCTAATAAGGGTGTTTTATCTTATGCCGCTTGAGATTCACAACAATGAACAACAAGATTAATTTATTCAAGAATTCTACCTGTAAAACATGTAGAATAAGCATGTCAAACTCGCGGCCCGCGGGCCACATGTGGCCCACAATGGACTCAGGCGAGCCGAGAGTACATGCTTAGTGTTATAGCAGAGTAGGCACCTGCTTTCCCTACATTGCAGAGTAGGCACCTGCTTTCCCTACACTTTGCTAAAACTTACCCAGCCGGGGAGGAGGGCCAGCGAGGGAGCTCAGTGTTCTTGCTCCTCACAGGTCCCTTCCACGCGCCGTCTGTAGTGAAGCCAGGCGCCAGAATATGACGTCATATTCCAGCACCCGGCATCACTAAACCGCACGAGGGAGCAGTGAGGAGCAGATAAAAGATACCCACTGAACTGGTCTGTCAGTGTGTGTGTGTCTGTCAGTGTGTGTGTGTGCCTGTCAGTGTGTGTGTGTGCCTGTCAGTGTGTGTGTGTGTCTGTGTGTTCATGTCAGTGAGTGTGTGTGTGTGTCTGTGTCAGTCAGTGAGTGTCTGTATGTCTGTCAGTCAGTGTGTGTGTGTGTGTCTGTGAGTGTCTGTCTGTGAGTGTGTGTGTGTGTGTCAGTGAGTGTATGTCTGTCAGTGAGTGTGTCTGTCAGTGTCTGTGTGTGTGTGTCTGTCAGTGAGTGTGTGTGTGTGTCTGTCAGTGAGTGTGTCTGTCTGTGTGTGTCGGTGTGTGTCTGTCAGTGAGTGTGTCTGTCTGTTTGTCTGTCAGTGAGTGTGTGTCTGTTTTTGTTTGCGTATTCCAGGGAGGGAAGTGTGTCGCCCTTCATCCCCTGCGGCAGAGTGTGTTACAGGGAGTAGAGACAACCGGTCTCACTCACCAGTGGCAGTGTGCAGTACAGGGAGCAGTACAGGGAGCGGATTGTGTTGGCCTTTCTCCCCAGCGGCAGAGTGTATTATTGGGAGAGGAAACTGCACCCGGCGTCTCCTGCGACAACTTTATCCAACCAGGGTAGAGTGTATCTGGGTTGTTTTCCCGCAGGACACTGGATCTACAAATGGGCACTTGTGGCAGGAGGCTGTCTGGAAAACTACGCCTTTTGTGAAAGGCCACCAGACTATCACAGATCCAGATCGATTGGAGGTCTGGGGACTGGATAGTCTCCCCGGGAGGGGAAATATGTTTGACAAAGTCCCCCTTTTATATGAGTTTGCCACAAGGCTGCTTGCCAGCCTCCTGCCCACAGACTATGGACCCTTTGAAAAATAATGTAAAAATCTCTGTTCGTGCGATTGGGATTATATGGTTCGTTTACCAAACAACCACACGAACCACCCTGGAGCTTGTTAACACCTATTAAAAACGTGGAATGTTTCTCACCACAGTGTTCTAATTGTTCGTCTGGGTGGCCGCAAGGTAGCGGCAATCTTATTCGCATGAACACAGGCAGCGGTGTTTGGGCATGAATCTCCTGGAACTAAAATCGGATACAGAAACTCCCGAACACCGCTGGACTTCCATCATAGCCTGCGTTCGGTTCTATACAAATTAGAAGAGAACTGTTCGGTGGGATCATTCGTCTGGATGAAGGGAACAAGCTCCAGGGTAAGACTATTGACTCTGTTCGGTAGTTTGTTCATTTTCAAACTACCGAACTAGACCGACCGCAAGCCCTGATTCTCTGAAATTGTTTTGGGCATGGGACCATGCCTGCGGTCGGTCAAAATAAGAATAGAATTTCTGAATCCCTGAACTGATCTGGGTGATTGTTGGATATGTTGGTCACCCAGATCAGGGCTATCAGGGGATGTGACATTTGTGGGGATATCATGTGTTTCGGGGTACATTTGGGACTTTTTAGTGTTTTTTTCTGCCTGGAGATAATTGGGTTAATGCAGTATCTGATTCAATTATCTCCCAGGCAGACGGGAGGGATTGTTTGCCTTGTGTAAATGTGTTGTTATTGGTTTGTAAGTTTGTGTCCCTGTCCCCAACAAGATCCATGTGCTTGGGGACTTGCATAAAAGGCCAAGTGTGGCACCATTAAAATCCAGCTTGTACTCCAAAACTGTGTGTCGTCCTGTTATTGGAGGAAAAGAAGATTTACTCCTGTATCCGCTGTTCCAGCTTTCAGGGGATTCAATTTGGAAAGTCCTTGTAAGGACTAGAGCTAATTCCCCATCTGGTTCCAGGAAGGAGCGGTTCCAGGGCCCCAGCCAAGCCACGGCAACTGTGGGCAGAAGTGCTGCGGTTTGTCCCCTGTTCCAGCTAGGAAGCGGTCCTTGGTGGAGGTACCCAGTCAGGGTACAGGGAGCTCCCCTACAGATGCTATAACAACCTAATAGACATTGAGCAAATATTTGGACAAAGTGTCACAGAATTGGTGTCAGCTGTTTTTTTCTGGCCTCAGACATTCAATAGAGTTACTGGAAAAAACAGAAGAAAAAACAGAAGAAGAAAATCAGCGCTAAATTGCCACACAAAATGTAAATAAGAAGACTGCACTCCTCAAAGGGGAATCCCCTCTAATCCCCTAATAGTGAAAAAGGAATACAAAACAAACAATAAAATAAGGGTGCGCCTAGAATATATAAATATATAATAATAGCATATAAAATATATTATATATATAAAAATATAATATAATATTTTGGAATAACATAAGTGATTGGCAATAGTCCAAAAAAAAACTTATCAGAATCTGTAATGGTAGGTCCCACGTGTAGAAGGGAAATTCTTAAAATGTTGAATGGGATCAAGTCTTCACGATTCTATGCTTGAAATTCAGTAGAGCATACGTAGAGAGAAAAATAAAACAGGACTCCAATGGCACAGTATATAGGTAAATAAAATATAAAATAATAAAATAAGTCTTACTCACACTTTTCAGAGCTAAAATCCAGCTCTGATATTGCGCACGTGAAGTGGAATAATCCCCACTCAAGGATATGCGGAGTAAGGTTAGATGAGTATCTGGCATAGGCTCAACGTCCAAATTGGTGTTATATGACCCAGGAGAAAAAATAAATAAAATATATAGTGCTCTCTGTATTATAATTTAAAGTTAAAAGAGTATAAAATATACTACTCACGTAATATAGAGCAGGCTTGGACTGCTCGGTGTAAATGCTTGGGTGGTATAATCCCCACCTATGGATTCTTTGAACTTCTTGTAAAATATACAATGTATGTATGGTCAGGTGAAAAGAAAGAAAATAAAGAAATGGCAATAAAGTATTTTATGCCAATAAAATTTCTTTATTATAAAATAATAGATTTACGCTATGCTATGTTAATGGTCTGGCAAGCCTTTGATTTGACCGGTCAAGTTGAGTGTCAAAGTGCCATACAAATGCATATTCTACCATTGTCCGTGATTTTCTGATCCAGACTACAAGTCTGACCAAAACTTCAAACCCAACACACATAGAGTCTACAGTTGTGGTCACAAGGAATACAAATCTCAGCATCCCTTTCAACAAATTTTGTCCACTTTCACAATTTAAAAGATCACATTCAATCAGAGACATATCAGTGGAAAGTCTTTTTTTTCTTTTTTTTTTTTTTAACCCACGAGGGTGTATTTCCTTACAGATGAAACTACTGAGAAATTGGGGGCTTTAAGGACCACTCTATGTTCTACTAACGGATATGGCATTTACTGCACATAGTCACCAGACGTGAAACTGGTTAATATTGTGCCACTTCTTAATTCATGCCCTTAAGTTAAAAAAAATATTTTATTTATTTATTTATATATTTATTTATTTTGATCATGTTTTATCAGGACTCTGTCTTCCTCCCTCAGCTCCAGGAAGGGGGAAGGGGATGACACATCAACTGTTGTATTATACATTATAATACAAGGTTAAGTCACTTCATGGGTTCACCAACAACAAAATAGGCCTGATCTTGTAAATATACTTAAAACTATCTTGTCCCATCTTAATAGATATACAAAAATGCCAATCAAGATACTTATAGTAATTATAACAATAATACAACTAATTAATAAGCAATAATACACAGAATGGATATTCTGTAGCAAGGACCTCTGAAAATGTGGAATAAACTAGTGGCACTAGTCTATAAACATACATAGTATGAATCCTTCACAACAAACTTACAGTCCAGGGAAGATGTGGTGTTTAGTTTACTTTACAGTTATGGGGACTTTACTACTAGACACTAATAAGGGGGCTATTGTCTCAGTAGGAATATACCGAGCTCATCATGCAAACACTGCAACACATACATGCTATCCCACTGTCATAGAAAGTCAAGTGGGCTTATGATATAGAAGTAGCAATCATGCCAGTCATATGAATCCCATTCAATATAACATACAATATAATCCAATGTAAAATAGTAACCCCTTAAGGATAAAACTACAGGAATAAAAGGGAATCAAGACGGAATATTTCCTTCATGTGTCCTTAAGGGGTTAAACTTTATGATATAGGAGATTGGGGAAATAGGCAGAGATAAAATATTAAGCATAAATCGTGGACTGTAGCCTTAGAGTCCATAGACTCTATTTTCCCTTATGGGAAAATATGTATTACCCACAAACCACACCTAGGTCGTAAATATATATATCTACCCATATATATATTGAAAAAGTAAGGACAATAATAAACAACTTCTCTCCTTTACCGGAGATTTCTCCCTCCTTTGCCGGAGGCTTCTCCTTTACCGGAGACTTCAGTAGACCCATTGCCAGGTGTCTCTTAAATTACCACTTCACTTCTAGGTTCAGGATTGAAGATTTCATGTACTTTATCTATATAACGCTTAGTGAATATACCCCTAGACACAGAGCTATAAACTTTCCTATCTCACACACTGACACACATGCAGCTACACAGATACAAAGATACACAAACTGATACACATTCAGATAGACAGACACAGATACACACACATATACAAATAAACACACACTGACATCAGGCCGCCTGTGCCGCCTTATGGACGCGCCGGCCCTGATAACAAGCAAAACTCACTTTATTTTTGCAGGTTAAAGGATGCTTTACTCCTTCCCAATTAAGGCATTCTAGGAACCTTTTGTCTGGATGCCAGTAGTTTTATTCCTCCAGTTTTCGGGCACACTTTATGAGTCCCGTGAGGCGGGGATTAGCGTCTTAGCTATTCAACAATGCAATCACACATTTCGCCTATGACGGCTTTATCAGATCTGCCTGTCAGTCATATCCCCGCCTATTTGTGTCCACCCTGATAACTCTCAGCTGGTGAGCTAAACCTGCACCGCAAGGCTTAGTTCAAATTAATGTATGAAGTTTGATTACTTACAATGGGGGAAAAGCGGGTATTAAACCACCCCTGATAGTGGTCATGGTGCTTGGAGGGTTTTCTTTTTTTTAAATGAAGCCTTGCCACTGCTGCTGATCCACCTTCCTGTGTGATCCTCACTGGATTGACAACGACATGAAGCATTCTGACTGACCGATGTAAGCATTGCGTTTTCTCTAAACTGGCGCAGCTTTAATTTGACTGACTGTCATATCAACAGTGTCCCAGCCCCAGCCCACAGTGAGAAATCTCGCAATGCCAGTCCAGCACTCCCCAAAAGTAATTTAAGCAACTAAGAAATAAAACAAATTCAAAAGGTATCATATGACTTCCTTTCGCCTCTATGTGTATTGTAATAAGAAAACTTTGGAAATCCTGGCAATAGAGTTGAAGGGTAAATGTTTATATCACATGAAAAGTTTCCTTGCTTTGTTTAATCTATTTAGTAGACATTTTGATGGCCAAATGTCACTTAGTATAGCCACATTTTTATTTTCTAGATGTTATGGACCACTAATTTCCATCAGCTTCAGGTAACATTTCCTGTCTTCAATTTTCCCTTCTGCCAGAGAATTTAAGAATGGAACATCAAATATGCTACTAACATCAAGCGCAAACTGTCACAAATTCTCCCTGCTGTTCACTGAACTATGAGAATTCAAAAAAATAACCATTGTGTATAGTCTTTTAACTTAAAACATCAATTGTACATTGCAAGCCTGCCATCTAGTGTCAACTTTATAAAATGCATTTGGGCAAGCTATAATACTAAATATATTATTATTATTATTATTATTATTATTATTATTATTGCCATTTATATAGCGCCAATAGATTCCATAGTGCTTTACAATATTATGAGAGGGGGGATTTAACTATAAATAGGACAATTACAAGAAAACTTACAGGAACGATAGGTTGAAGAGGACCCGCTCAACCAAGCTTACAGTCCATAAGAGGTGAGCTATAAAACACATTAAGACAGGAAAGAGCAATCAAATAAGGTGGGAGTGAAGAAGAGCTGGAGGAGAGAGTAAAGTTCTGCTCTTTAGGAGAGAGCAAGAGACAGGTACTTTGGGAGGCCATAAGCTTTCCTAAAGAGATGGGTTTTAAGGCACTTCTTAAACAATTGAAGACTAGGGGAGAGTCTGATGGCGATAGGCAGGCTATTCCATAGGAAGGGAGCCGCCAGCGAGATATCATGAAAGCGCAAGCTGGCCTATACAGGTGCGAGCAGCGGACAGGAAAAGGTTACGAGCAGAGTGGAGAGACCAAGAAGGGGCATACCTATTGAACTGTGAAGAGATATGAGGGGCTAGAATTGTTCAGTGCTTTATAGGCATGGGTTAGCACTTTAAATTGACTCCTATAGGATACAGAAAGCCAAAGTAAGGACTGACAAAGGGGTGTGAGAGGACCGACTAGAGAGGAAAATCAGTCTAGCGTCAGCATTCATTACAGACTGTAGCGGGGTAATGCGGCTTTTGGGAAGACCAATTAGGAGAGACCTACAATAATCCATGTGGGAAATTACTAGAGCATGGACAAGCTCGTTGGTAGCATCTTGCGTAAGAAAGGGATGGATGCGGGCTATGTATGGATAAATCTGGATGTGAGGCTCTAAGGTGAGGCCAGAATCAAATATGACCCCAAGACAGTGTGCTTGCAAGGATGGACTTATGTGGATACTATTAACTTGAAGGGAGAGTGAAAGAGGAGGATCAGTATTAGGAGGAGGAAAGACAATGAGCTCAGTTTTAGAGAGATTGCGTTTCAGAAAGCCAGTCAGAGATGGAAGAAAGGCAAGCAGTGACAAGTTGCAGGGGAGAGGTATGGGTAGGTATGGAGAGGTATGGGTAGGTTTCATCAGCGTACAGGTGGTAGTTGAATCCAAATGAGGTAATAAGTTTGTCAAGAGAGGCAGTATTAAGATAATATAGAAGGGAACTAAGGACAGAGCCTTGGGGGACTCTAACCAAGACAGGATGAGGGGAGGAGGTATCATTAGAAAAGGAGACACTGAATGAGTGTTGGGAGAGATAAGAGGAAAACCACGAGAGGACAGTCACAGAGACTGAGTGATTGAAGAGCTTGCAGAAGGAGAGCATGATCAATGGTGTCAAAGGCAGCAGAGAGGTGGTGTCAAAGGCAGCAGAGAGGTCAAGGAGAATTAGTATGGAGTGACCTTTGGATTTAGCTGCGATTAGGTCGTTTGTAACTTTGATAAGAGCAGTCTCAGTAGAGTGGAGTGGGCAGAAGCCAGATTAAAGAGGGTCAAGGAGAGAGTTGGAATTGAGGAAGTGAGACATACAGGTAAAGACTAGTCTTTCCAGAATCTTTAAAGAAAAAGGGAGCAGGGATATGGGATGATAGTTAGAGGGGGTGGATGGATCAAGAGATATTTTTTCAGTATAGGTACTACAGTGGCATTTTTAAGGTCAGCAGGGCCAACGCCAAAAGAGAGAGAGCAGTTGAAGATGTGTGTTAAGGAAGGCACAAGACGGGGGAGGGATCTGATAAGGTGAGATGGGACAGGATCTAGCGGGCAAGTGGTGGGGTGAGAGGAAAGCCACCACAGCTACCTCTTGTTCAGTAGCTGGGGAGAAAGTCAGAAGGGTAGGAAAGGCATGAACAACGAGTGGTTGAGAAAGAGAAAGGCAGTGTGGGGAGAATTCTTTCCTTAGTTGTTCAATCTTGTCAGTAAAGTAGTATGCAAACCTATAGGCTGTAAGGTTAGTTTAGGGGGTGGCCATAGCAGGGCGAAGAAGAGAGTTAAAGGTGTTAAAGAGACACCTGAGATTGCGGGAGCATGAACTAATGAGAGAGGAAAAGTAGACTGTTTGGCGAGGGCAAAGGCTGCGCTGTATGAACACAATATAAATCTATAACAGAGATAGTCTGCCTGGGTGCGAGACTTCCTCCAGGAGATTTCAGCACAATGGGAGCATCTTTGCAGGTAGCGTATTGATTTAGTATGCCATGATTAGGGGCATGTCGTTCTCGAGGTGTATGTTAGGAGTGGGGCGGCAGCGTTCAAGGCATAGGTGAGGGTAGTGAGGGTAGTGTTATATGTGGAGATGGCCAGTGAGGGACAGGAGGGGGAAGGGTTGTGAATCAATATCAGCTGTCAGCTGCAGGAGGTCAATAGAATTAAGGTTCCTCCTGAGCTGAGGGGGGTTAGGCTGAGGTTGTTGGGTAAGGGGGTACTTGAGAGCAAACTATAAGAGGTGGTGATCAGAGAGAGGAAATGGAGTGTTGCAGATATTAGATACTGTACATGCATAAGAGAAAATGAGATCGAAGGTATTGCCAGCAACATGGGTGGGAGAATTAGCCCACTGGTATAGCCTGAGGGAGGAAGTAATTGAAAGTAGTTTAGAGGCTGCTGAGGTCAAAGGTGGGTTAAAGGGAATATTGAAGTCCCCGAGAATTACGGATGGAATATTAGAAGGCAGGCAGCAAAGTGGTCAAGGAAGAGGAGAGGGGAACGGCAATGTTGGCAGGGAATGGTTTGAAAAGGTGAATTGGATGAATTTCAAATGATGGGAAAGAGAGGGAATGGGGTGGGTAGAGATTTGAAGGAGCAGTGAGGTGAGAGGAGAAACCCTTCACCTCCACCTTTACATTCAGAGTGTCTTGGGTTGAAGTTGAAGACCACCAAAGGATAAAGATGCAGGGATAGTAGTGTCAGAGGGGGGAGCCATGTTTCTGTTAAGGCTTGTCAGTATATTTATGTCGGCAGATATTTTGTGCTAAGATAGAAATTAAAAGTGTCTACTGCCAGTCACACTTAGAACAAAACTGACTCTATTTTGGTAATTCAGGCTAAGAAAGACATATAATTCTCTTTCCGTAATTCTAGTCACAAATCTGAGGTAAGGAATGCGTTATGTAAACAAGACATGTGATAAGGAATGGAGTCTCACAGCTCGAAGGGGGGTGGAATACAACTCAGAAACAAGTATATACATTATATATACATCTAACCACTATATACTTATTTTGCTATTATATTAATTACATATAATTAGTATTGTGTTAATAATATAGACCATTCATAGATAAATATTCATGAAGAAATATCATATTATTTAATAAAAGTTAGTGGAATAGAAACATAATCTTACACATAGCTTCACAGAAGGCCAGATACCAGTGATAGATAACACGTAGTAATTCATTTTACTTTCTAAATCTTACAAGGTCCCATTGTAAGCAAGGGGTGAAATTAAGGTTTAGACATGTCAGAAAGTAGATTTAAAGGTCTATCGCCACCACGAAGACTGGATAAAGTCCTTGAAATTGACAGCAAATTTAAGTCATGGTGGTTATTTAGATAAGCCAAAATTACGTCAAAATCATCATCAGACGAAGTTAACTCTTTCCAGGACAAGAAATTTTGGTGATGTGATGGCGCCATCTATTGACCAAAAACTAGATGATACTAGATAAACTAGACACACCTAGAGTTTCCTATTCGTCAGATCACCTAATGACGTACAGAAAGTTTGGCCCTTTAAAAAGTAAGGACAAAGGAGAATTCAGGAGAGAGATCCAGGACAGAGATTCAGACATACACATTCAACTCTCTGGGACTGACACTCAAATCTGACATTCAAAGACTCAGTCTTTGACCACATTCAAACGCTCTTTGACTCAACTTTCCAAACCATCACCACTTTCTCTATTACATGCACACCTCCATACAATCATAACCATACTTAAGAAACAATTTCCTGGGACTATCTATTCATCTGATGAGAACATCTACATAACTAGTAATTATGCTGGTTTATTTAATTATTTAAATTAATTAAAATTTTACATAGCATGGATATATGCCTGGATAAATTGTCAGATTTCCACTTAGAAATCTTAGTTAACTAAAGAATATATGGTTATAAAAACTCCATTACAGCAGGTGGAATTAACATTAACGATATATTAACGGTATTATTTACCAACAGGTTAGCATGACACATGTTATCCAGAAATATTGACTTGCTCTGAAATAAGATAGTGTATCTTATGTAGGGAAATTAAATTCGGCTAATGTAAAATCTGGTAGATTTTTCTTATTGGATGGTTCCAGGAATGGTTGATCTGGGATGAATATTGAGAATATGCCTAGGAGGATTCTGGCCAGCAGTGGAATAGTTAATCAGGAGCTAACTGATAGCCAAGATTTTAAGACTTCTCGCTGTGCTGTGGGCTTTCTGTGTTCTGTGTGAAATACCCTATCATAAATCTTGCTAAATTCTTGACAACTGGGTTGCTTTTAGCCACTATATTGTGTTTAAACCATTGCCATATTTTGTATACCAATATTATACTAAATATTCACTGATTATTATCACGCATGTTACAGATTATTATTATTATTTTTATTATTATTGTCACAATAAATTATATTTTTATAAAGAAATTGGGATTTTACTGTGTTGAATAAAATCCTCTTAATGAACGTTCTCTAGGATGTAAGAGAATTAAATAGTGGGTAATTCTCAAGATAGAAATTTGATATAATAAAATTTATTCAATTAATTTCTGATAATTTTTATGAAAATATTATTTTAATATGTATCACCCCATAAATATCCCCACAGGCTAGTAAATCTAGGGAACGAGAGATGAAGAGGTCATGGACAGCAGTGGATTTTGTAATATTGCAAACAGTGCATGTATTCCAGAGGGCAGTATTGAAGGAGGATTTAGAGAAAGAGTAACATGAGATGGGTATGAGATTGGTGTGGTTCCTTGAGTTAGTACGTGGTGGGTTTGCTGAGATGGGACCAGGGTTTGGAGAGACATCACTAGCTGCTAGGGGCAGAAGGATAGAAAGGAAGTGAAGGTGGGAGTAGGATTTGAAAGTTTTGTAGGAGGGTATATATATAGAGGATTTGGGAGGAGTTGAAGGAGATAGGTTGGAAAGGTATATGTAGAGTGCATGGGAGGAAGAAAGAGGGTAGGGGAGTAAAGTAGAAGTAATGAATGCCAGGTGAGCAGAAGGATTGGGATATTTTAGTAATGAGAGAAGTTAGTGTGATTTGCACTATCTATAAGTATGGTAATGACCATGGGGTGGGCTGGGGTGGTGCAAGGAGAGTAGGCAGCTTTCCAGAGATGATAGCTCTGCTTAGGCTTTTCAGAAGGGCTTGGTTGCTTGTCAGTACTGGGTGTTGATAATCAATGCTGTTATTAAGGGCCCAGTCTCTGTGTAGGCTTTCCTGCAGTGCTTGGTTGCTTGTGAGTACTGGAAGTTGATAATTAATGCTTTTATTAGGGGCCCAGTTTCTGGTTAGGCTTTTCTGCAGGGCTTGGTTGCTTGTGAGTACTGGATGTTATTATTATCACATCACATAAATTGACAGAGATGGCATTTTCACAATTATAAATACTAAAAAGAGGAGATAATTGAAATTGTAAATGTAAAGATTTTAGACAACATTACTATACTAAAAGTAAATCATGTAATTATTTCTCTTATTGCCTTCCATGACCAGATTCATTTTTTCAAATATTTCCCTATACTCTTCTATATCATGCTTTATATGGGATCAACAAATGGTGGTGAGAATGGCCAATTCTTGGAGTTTTTCTTGGTTTACATGTCACTTGTAATACACTTGCTGCTTGAATACCTAAAACCAGATCTACTAAATGGCTCTAACATATGTGAGTGTGATTTTATACATTTGCATATTCCAGATTAACATAAAACACTATTGTGCAGTTGCTTTGGTTTTTATGTATATACAAAAAGAGAAAAGATGTATATATAAGAAACAGGCACACAGGTAAAATATATATTTTTGTGCAGTGAGTCACTTTTCTTATTTTGTTCACTTGCATATTGATGAAGTGTGTGGTAGGTGAAAATAAACTCATCTTGGGGCCCTATGAACATTTATAAACCTCTCAAATTCAATTATTATATTAAAGTTATCTGCCATCCTGTGTTGTACATACAGTCTGAATTAAATGCTACATTGGTGAAATAAAGAAAGTGATTGAGTCCCCCTTTAATTTTCTATCTAAACATAATGTACTATAGAGATACAGATCAACATTGGTACTCAAAATATTTTAATTGAGTTCCTCTTTTTTTTTAAAACATAATTATTCTTCTCTATATCTCATTATAGTATACCATACATATACAGAGCCAAAAAGAATGGAATACAATGTTTGCAATAAATGTGACATTTCCCAGATAACATTGGACAACTAGTTAACTAAAGTAGGACAACTCGACTTGAGGAACAGCAAAAATCAAATCTCACAAAAGGAAAAGAATATATTTGCTGCCTCTATACTGATTTTCATGAGATTCTTTCAATTCTTTTAATTTTATGATTATTTGGAAATTCGTTTTCATAGATTCCTAAAAAATAAGAATATTTTAACTGCAATTTTATCATAACAGAAACTGCCAAATTATAGCATTTTTGTGAACATAGGTTTGGATAAAATGGGCTTTATAATTCATTTAAGCCCAAATACCACTGCTCTGTTTTTTATTATTATTATTATTTTACATTATAAGATAGATAGAGAAGGAGAAATATATATGGTATTAGAAATATACAAAATAATACTTCCAGTGTATTGCATCTCCCAGGGAAATACCATCTTTGTTTGTTTGCGCCCAACACAAAAACACCGAGGTATGTGTGAAAGAAAATGAAATTTAAAAAGATATTGTGAAGTACAGTATAAAGTGGAGAGTGCTAATAATCTACCAACAACCCATATAATTGAATAGTCTGTCACAGCCAGAGGAAGTCCTTCACTGGTGGTATTGGTATTTGTACAATGTCATTCCCTCCGAGAAAGATGAGAAAAAGCAAAAAGTGCAATACTGTATAAAATGTATGTGACAGAAAAAAATAACAAAAATATAACACAAAATAAATACAGGATGTGAAACTTGGTGTAGAGCAATGCAAAGAAAAACACTACAATAATTACATAGTTCACATCCATATTCCAAAGAGATCCTTCGTAATCCTACACACTTTGTTCGGGTCATAGATTTCTTTAGGGGTTTAATATTATCTCTAGAAAAGATGTACCACCATAGTGGTGGTTTTCAGACTTCCTCAGTCAAGTATTGCCCAATTAGCCTCCATGGAATATGTGGATATGAGAGGGGTCTGATAGTTTATAGTTTTGTTTTCACTTTTCCACCTTCATCAGAGGGAACTGAAATTTGATGTACCTGTTCAAACACGTGGCATTTATTATCATAAAGCACATGCACCATTTCACTTCATTACGTTTTCCTTTGTTATCTTAGTTCACAGATAGGATAGAAGAAAAATAAAATAAAAAAATAAAAGTGGATAAATACTATACAACTGAATGACCCTATTTTCTATAGGATATTTCTATAACCACAAAGAGGCTATATACAAACGCATGGATCGATTTGCTATGTTACAAATACTACATTACATATATTAACCAGCAGTTACATGTAAGATACTTTGTCAATGTCTAAATTTGTGTATGATTTTTCTTCAGTGTTATAGCCTGGTGGAGGTTTCTTGGATGAGTCATTGTCAAATCCGTTCTCAGTCGGTTGATCTGTTATTGCGTCCATTTTAACATCTTTTTGGAGACTTTCTTGATGATCCTTAAAAATAAAATAGAAATGAAATAATTTAAATATGTGTAAACATGGCTCATTTTGTTTTTATTATTTTATAGGATGCAGGAAACTGCCATGATGTGGGTTACAGTAAATATAATGTCTTTCAGTGGCCCCTTATTAGACATCTGTAGTTATCTTCTAATGCAAGCATAGAAACATAGAATGTGACGGCAGATAAGAACCATTCGGCCCATCTAGTCTGCCCAATTTTCTAAATACTTTCATTAGTCCTTAGCCTTATCTTATAGTTAGGATAGCCTTATGCCTATCCCACGCATGCTTAAACTCCTTTACTGTGTTAACCTCTACCACTTCAACTGGAAGGCTATTCCATGCATCCACTACCCTCTCAGTAAAGTAATACTTCCTGATATTATTTTTAAACCTTTGCCCCTCTAATTTAAGGCTATGTCCTCTTGTTGTGGTAGTTTTTCTTCTTTTAAATATAGTGTCCTCCTTTACTGTGTTGATTCCCTTTATGTCTCGTCTTTCCTCCAAGCTATACATGTTAAGATCCTTTAACCTTTCCTTGTAAGTTTTATCCTGCAATCCATGAACCAGTTTAGTAGGTGATATATAAGTACACATAATTCCCCATATTACACTAGCCATGCTGTTATTGTAATTAGAGACATGTATACTGCAGATTGGTTAAAAATAAAGGGTTACCCCAGTGCCGAAATTAAAAACAAAATATAAAAATTTCTCTTTACTAGAGTTACCCCAAATGACAGAATGTATGTATTTAATTATGCATTTTTTCATTGGGGGTACATCGAAAAACAGTTTTTTAAACCTGCAGTTTTCTTGTGTGATGGCTTTGCAAACCCTCCTCTTCTGACCCCTCCCCCAGACTCTCTGGCTGTCCAATCACAGACTTCCCAATACAGTTCAAAGAGAAATCTTTGCAAGGCAGGTGCTCTGGGCAATTGCTGCCTCTGGAGTTTAGATCCACTAAGCTAAACAAACCAGGAAGTTACAGGACTGGCTGTCTGATTGAAAGCAAAGGAGAGTAAACAGGTTAATTTATGAAACTGCTAAATTCTATTGAAAGCTGCACTTTTTGTAAATTAAAGAAAAGAAGATTCACTCTTCACACATAAAGCATGTCAGCAAGCTAAAGTACTTTAGGGGTCCGGAGTGTCCCTTTAACATAAGGAATGACAACTATATTTCAGATTCAAAGTCCTGAAATGTACATTTGAAACAAATATAATTTGCTAAAACCTGATTAACCTAATTAAAACAGCGTGTATTCAGGACAAAGATTCTAGAGAATGTTGACCCCCAAAGCAGAGTAAACGTCTTTCTAGAAAGCTAAAGCTATAGCACATACAATCATCAATGTATAGTTTTAAATAGAAAATGAAAGATGCCTTTTTCCCCAAGATGTGCTCTTTGATGACACAAAATAGTTCATTTTAAATGTTGGTTATCTCACGTTACCATATATGGTATCTAACTAATTAATGGATCTGACTTTCATAGATTATATCTACAGGAAGTGTTGGGAAATAAACAATTTGCTCTGTCCAGAATAGCAACAGGAACTGAAATGGTTGGTAGGTTGATTATGAAGTTGATACTTACAAAATCTTCTTCACTATCATGACGAACTCCACACCAGCACTTGGCTTTGTATTTGTCCGACCAAAAGCAGAAGAGGTTACAAACTGGTCTGATTAACAATGGTCTAATGTTCCGGCCATGCTCACGCCCTAAATAAATTACATTGAGAATTATTCTTTAAATAATTAATAAAGAATATAATAATTAATAGTATATAATAGTGCTATATATATATATAACTAGAAAAGCTACAATTTCTGGGGAAATTGTGTGAAGTGTTCTTGCCTCCACCAGTAGTCTACAACTGGAGTGGGCGGAGTAACTGGGTGGAGTGGCTTGAGTAACTGTTGTGTGGTTGGAGTGGCTGGAGTAACTGTGGAAAGGTTGGACTGGGCAGAGTAACTTTATGGAGTGGGCAGAGTAACTGTGTGGAGTGTTTATAGTGAGTAAAGATAGTAAACATTACACTAACCAATTGATTGATCAAATTTAAAAAGTGCACATGTCAAGCTTGATAGAGTGAGAAAAGCATTTCAACTTTTATTTATTTATATAGCACATTTAATTGCAACGTTGTTGCCCAAAGTGCTTCACAGTTACATTAAAACATACATTTATAAAAACATTAGCAGGTGTACAAAAGGCTCTGTCTATGACATCACTTGCTGCTCCAGCCTGGCACAGGTCAGAGTATTTTGGCGGTTGCCATCTTCAAATGGTCGTATTTTAAAAACTATACATCCTACAGCGAAGAGCTTATATTGTGAGAATCACAAGACCCAGACCTACATTTTGATGCATAGTATGAAACATGAAGGCACAGTCGCAGTTTAGATATTGCCCTTCAAATTTAAGCTGGCTGGAGTGGAGTTTCAATGAATGTCAAAGGACGGCATGAGTTGCAAACAAATGGTCATATTGTGAACACTATCAGGACTATGGCTTAGCCGTGGACATTGTTAGTGGCACCAGGGATAGCTGAACGTTTTGATATAAGATTTGTGTAGGTGGGCTTGAAAACGAGGGAGTGGTGGCAGTTTAGAAATCATGTCCTGATTTTTCAGCTTTTGCCAGCTCCCACTCTAGTTTTGAACATTTTGCCATTCATTCCTATGGGACCAATTTCGCCACAAGAACGACGATATTCCGTGAACCATTCGGCGAAACGGTCCACAAAGTAATAGCAATCCGATCGGGAACAATCTGCACGTTTCGGTATATTACTGTCTATGTAGTGTAAGAACTGTGGG